AATATTTCTTGTTCGGGATAAAAATTGGCATCGTCTTCGGCGCAAGTGTTTCTGGTACCGGGCGTGCAGTCCTATATTCGGTTTTTGATTGGACTGGGGGCCCATTGCCATCGAGGATCGACGAGAAATAGTACCACATCACTGCACCACTATTGTCCGCTTGTACCGCCCGGATTCTCGAAGCGCGTTTAACCTGACAGTGGTCGTATAAATCAAGATCTATTCTCTCATCTTCAAGTCGCTCAATCTGAATTGATTCTTGTTTTTCAATCGGGTTTTCCTTCGCAAACATGCAACTTCGACTTCCCGTTCTCATGCGGTGAATGAATGTGAACAAAGAACATTCCAAGAAACTAAATAACAAATTTCATCGTCCAAAAAAATGGTACTTGTTTAGCCCGGACAGCAAGCGGCTGAGACTATTTCTTTCCGGAGCTGCCTTCCCGAAACTCGACGGCTTCTCATGCGCCCAACCTTATTCATAAATTTTATACCTAGTTTGTGGTTAAAGTGGCGACAAGGACAACCACAACAGGCTGCGCATTTCACAGTGACAAAAATCTTCAGCAGTGATGAAGACCATCACTAAATCGCACAAAAATAATAAATTTCTCACCTTGCGCATTGAGTTCGAAGAGCCCCGTGCCGTCGGGCTGCTGCACGAACGCGGTGATAGCACATTTTTCCTTGCAGGCCAGCTTTCCAATATTTTCACCACTGCTGTCGTCGAACAGAACGACGCCCTCCTCCTTTGCGACGGTGTGCCTGGTGTGAGATCAGGAGCAGCCATTACAATCCGTTTTACATTCATTTTTATTGTAAAAACCAAAGCTCGTCGAAACACCCACGGCCGCGGACTGCGACTGATGCCCATCGTAAGTCGTACTAGTTTCATTTTCAATCGGATGAACCATAATTTTTCTCCTGAGGACACCATTCGAAAATATTCAAATAGCAATAAGTACCTTTCTCGCGTCCCGCACACTACCGCCGTTGCAGTAACGACCACTGGGATCGCAGGCTCGCTTTTTTTTGGCGGGGACGTGTCACGGGGAACGACCGCTTGCGGCTTCGAGTGGTCCAGAGAGGGGCGGTATACCTTTGATTTTGATTAGAAATTAATAGATTGATAAAAAAACAAAATCGCGATCTTCACACACTGCTTAAAGGCGCGGAAACGCAATGTTGCCAAATCTATAAACAAAGACAAAACCCCCCAAAATCTCTATTTATACCTCAAACACGATGGGAAAGGCATTGGTCGCTCGCACTTTGTCCATTTCCTTGGCAAAGGCATCGAAATTGAGAGTCGTCACCCCGTTCACTGCCGTTATGGTGTCCTCTGTTTTATTGTGTGATGTTTCGATCATAAAATGCAAAAGCGGCAATCGATCGTCAAGGGCGCTCCGCTGAAGACCTCTATCTAGTTTCCTCGCGATTGAAGATTGATGCGGAAGTATAGGACCAGAGTAAGCAAACACCGAGCATCAAAAACGAATACCTGTCTTCCACCCCAGTGGTTCCGCGGCGGGATGGTAGAAATTCTCGACTGTCAAGCCCCGCAAGTTCAACCCCAGTTTCCCGCCCTCGAAAAAGTGCGGCACGGTGACGGTCCAGTTCGCGACCAGCGGGTCGTCGTTGTCGCGCGACTGGTACAACAAAGTGCTACTTGCTCCTGCTCCGTAGGACGACGAAGATGAATTTATTCCGGCGTGCTGGTGCGTTGACGCCGGTCCTCCTCCTGCAAATGACGAAGAAGAGCCACCTCCTCCACCTTTAGCACCAGAAACAGCTCCGCGGTGGTGACCAAACGACGCATGATGATGGTAATAATGATGTGCACCACCTCCCCCGCCGGCTGTAGAAGTTGTTGTCCCCCGCGGTGCACCTGCTCCGTAGTGTTGTTGCGTCGTCGAGGTGTTGCCACCACTCGAAGTTGCTGTTCCCGGGAGGTGATTACCACCAGCAGCAGAAATACTGCCTGGCGCATTCGTCCCGTGGTGGCTGTAGTGCCCCCCGTAGTTGTAGGACCCGACGACGTGTGGCGACGGATGGTAGGACGAGCCGCTAGCGTGCTGATTGTAGCCTCGATAAGAACTACCAGCTGCCGAGGAAGTTGCACCGTTACCCCCTCCTCCACCTGCACTGCCGGCTGCCGCAGTAGAACCAGGATAGAGTGGATGAGGCGGCCCTCCTGGAACTGCATGTGGTCCTCCACTATGCGCCCCCGCCGTTGCACTTCCGTTCGTGATGGGTGGCTGCGGCTGGTAGGCTGGGACGCCGAGAGTTGGTGGCCCACCACTGCTCGCCCCGTAGTGGCCGCTTATGTTGTGGTGATGATGTTGATGAGCCGCGGAGGCTCCTCCATACCCGCCCGTCATTCCATGGTAGTGGGACGAGGAAGCTGCTCCTACTGCCGTGTGTGAAGATGGATGAGCGCCTGCTCCGGAAGTAGTAGAGCCGCTGGCGTTCATCTGTGAGCCACTTGATGTTCCAAACTGCTGATGTGGCGGACCTATTCCACCGTATTGATGCGGGTGACCAGCACCGTAGGCCGCAGCGTGGGATGTGGGTCCACCTCCATAGGAACTGCCCTGGTGTGGTCCTCCTGTATTTCCGGGTGCGGCGGCGGCCCCTCCGCTGCTGCGCGACGCGGGGTGGTACAAGTGCGCAGGACCTCCACCCGGCACAGTGCCGGAAGATACCATGTAGTTGTTCCGATTCTCGTCATTCACCGCCCGGTGCTGTGCGGTTGGGACGTGTTGTTGTTGACTCGCGTAAGCACCAGGACCACCCGAAGGGTGCTGCGTGCTGTGGTGTGGACCAGCGTGGTGGTGCTGAGAGTGGTGTGAGGATGAAGAAGTAGTCCCTGCTCCGTGTACAACTACGCTGCCGGGCTGCTGATAAGGAGAAGCGCTTGTCATTCCGGGGCCATACTGCGGTGGATGTTGTGCCCCCGCCGTCACAGGATGTGCCCCGTGTTGAGATGAGGTGGAAGCGGCCGTAGCATGAGGGTAAGAATGGTGACCGTAAGATGAACCTGCTCCGTGAGAAACTGCACTACCTGCTCCAGGGTGGGGGTTATTGTATCCAGCAGCTGCTGCAGTGCCATATGGTCCAGCAGCCGTGGAAGTAGAACCGTTCGGCGTCGTAGTCGTTGTACTGTACGAGGCGTGCTGTTTATTCGTGCCACCAATATTCGCCGGGTAAGACGTCATCCGATTATGTTGCTGGTGCTGCACATTGTAGTCGACATCTATCGCGGACAGCGGCTGTCGCGGAGGTGCGACTGCCCCTGCTCCTCGCGCTGATCCAGCTACAACACTGCCAGCGGAATGTGTTGCTGGGCCTCCTCCTTTACCTCCCGCTGATGCAGCTGCACCATATAATCCGTTGTAGTAGGCCGCTGCTTGTGCTTGTTGGACGGTACTGCCCGATGTTGATCCGTTGTAGTGCTGAGTGGCACCAGTTCCGTTCCTCGCAGATGATCCAGCACTACCGTAGGGACCTGGTTGCTGGTGCGCCGCTGTCGCGGCACTAGTACCGGTGCTGGTTGTCGAACTGGTACCGTATTGCTGGCTGTGGTGCGCGGCTGCTGCTGCGCCAGTGCTCGCGGTGCTAGACGCGCTAGAGGTGGACGTCGCTGAAGTTGTGTTGTAGTAGTGCTGGTGGTACGCGGCCGTTGCGGCGTTGCTCGCGGCGCCTTTTTTGTTGCTCGCGTGTGAGGGGTTATAGCTGCTGCTGTAGTAGCTGCCGCCCTTACCGCCACCAGCGCTGCCGTTTCCGCTGCCTAGTGTTTTTGTGAGGACGTCGTGCAGTTGGAAATGAAACATGACGTTCTTTTCTAGACGTACAACAAAAGCTTTCATAGCATGTATACAGATACTTACACAGAGCGAATCGACGGGATTAGCAGGCTGCAATCGAACACTATGTTGTCCATGTGTTCATATGTCAATCATCATCAATGAATCGAGAATAATATCGACGTAGAAGAAGTACAAATACGTTGTGCGCCGTTCTGCCTTCCCCCATAGAATGATGAAGAACTGCTGGCGCTCGAGCTCGTGGAACTTGCGCCTCCACCACCAGCTCCGTACGAGGAGTAATACCCTGCGCCCGACATGATCGTCAGTCGTACTAGTGCGCAGACGCAAATCTTCTGGGAGGAGGTATCTGCTTTCTGTCTTTACAACTTCGCAGTCAGAGGTTGTTGTACTACCACGGATCTCTGCACAGATAGGGCTTCATCTCCCGATTCTCATCTTCGACGTAACACAATTTTGCGATGCTGATGTTGGTGAAGATGGTGTTGCAGGACATATTCGCGTTCTCCTCGAGCAAGATGATGTGCATGCCACGCATGACTGGTGCTGCGTCTCCCCAACACACTAAAAGCGAGCCCGTGCTTTTCGTAGTTGCACCACTCCGCGTCCGGTGGTACTTAAGCTTTTTTCCGGTGCAGCGCTTGGCGTAGTAGAGTGAAAAAGAAAAACCTTGAAGAAACGTCCTCCAGCAATGTTTTTCCGGTTGTTGTAAACAAGGCAAATATAACACCTTGATGTGCAAAAAATACACAACAAGAAAACAACTATGCGATCGAGCGATGCGATTCGATTTCGAAGCACGAGGCTCACATAAAAAGATGAAAACATTGACTCAAAAAGTGGTCAAAGTTCGGCACAGATTTAGATTTCTGCGCTCGTATTAACACGCTCGCTCTACTTCGGCTTATTAGACGCTCAGCAAAAATCCGCTCTTGGTCTTATTCGTTTCATCGATTACGTGAGGTGTCTAGTTGTACTCCCCCCAGAGTTTGTTATCGATATGCGGTGCTAGTCGTTCACTGGTTGAAAGCCAAGAACAGAGAAAGATTATACACAAAACTGTCACTGCCACAGGATCTTCTTCTTCTCGTTCTCGAAAAATCGTCCACACGAAAATTGATTTATGTTGCCTATGGCATTTATTCTTGCTCCACAAACACAACAGACCCGCAAGTGTGTGTAGTATTCTTTACCTCGTCCAGCGGTGCTAGTTTAATATGCTCTCTAGTTTAGCGTCATGTACTCTCTTTCGCTACTCCAGTATTCTTATTCTATTGAAAGCCGTCTAAGCGTCATCCGTGCCCGAACAGCCCGATTTTTGCTTGTACCGTTTTTGGTTTCCGTGCGGAGAGCTGCTCCAATAATTCCTGCTGCCGAACCTGCCAGGCCTGCTGCGCCGCACTGTTGCCCGAGGATGAAACTGTCGTCGGTGTGAGAAACAGATCTTCCTGCATCATCAAATCGCGCAGGGATTCTCGTGTAGCCGCCGGTGCGCCAGCAGCAGCAGCGCCTGGATAGTTTTTGTTCAGACCGTCTTCTGCTATTGACGGTAAAGAGGAATTACTACCGCTCCCGCCGGGGCCGCCGTACCTCTGAGCAGGAGGTACCAGCGCGGACGCGGAGCCGGGAGCAAGAACTTATGGCAGTGGCAGAAACTTTTTCCTTCAAAACTTTTTTTTTTTTCGCCATGCGCATCACCCAGCGCGAGAAGTAGATATCGTCTCGGCGGCGACTATCTCACGCGTGGGCGCTGCGGCTTTATGCCCATGTCAAATTTGCTGGTCTGCATGCAGGAACAGGGCGAAGTTTTCCGCCTGTTGCGTCCCGGGTCCGGTCCGTGACGGCAGGCGCAGGAGCCGGACAAACACCGTATGGCTTGGCGCTGGTCGGATAAAAAGAATTATGCAACCAAGCCGAGGCGCGACGGCCCCAATGACTTAGGCGCCGCGGATACGCCATGACTTCGGGTTTTGGTCTCGGGCCAGTGCTTTTCAGCCCCGGTTGTTTTACAAAGAGCAAAAGGATGTTGCGTCTCCGGAAGCAAACAAAAGGCCCCAGGGGGTACCCCAGAGGCAACCCCAAACCCCCCCCCTTTTTGGGCCTCCTCAGAAGGGTACTCCCCATTGGTATCTCCACGAAGGGGGTTCCCCCAAACCCCCCCCCCTCAAGGGGGGGCCCGAGCCCTCTTTTTGCTTCCGCAAGTTTTCAGCTTTTCAAAAGCGATGTCCGGAAAAATGATCACGCGAACCCGGTAAGAATGGGTCTTACACAGCCGGGTCCGGAATAAAGTGGGCGACTTTATTGGCTTCTGCGCCTACACTGTCTGCGCCTCGCAGAGTACTTTGGAAGCAAGGGCGCGCCAGGTCCCGTGGCCATGCTCGTTTGAGACTGCCGCCCTTGTGCGATCCGTCAGACTTGCGCCGCTATATCCTGCACTACCTCTCGACGCGCCAAGGCCGCGGCGGGGGACCTACCTGCCGCGCACCTCTAGGCCAAGGCGCTAGGGACGAATCTGCGACGCAGCCGACGGGCAAGCCCGCTCTGCCCCTGTCTTCCCACTAGCCAGCCCAGCCTGCACAAATAGCCGCCCACTGCAAGCGGGGCCCATTCACGTCCGAAAAGGTGTCGGGTTTTCATGATGGGTGATTTGCATGTGCAAAAAAAAAAAAGTTTTGAAGGAAAAAGTGAAAGAAGTGAGCAGGAGGTACCAGCGCGGACGCGGAGCCGGGAGCAAGAACTCGTCCCGGTGGTCGTAGCAGATTGGTTCCGTCGTAACTGCTTCCACTACTTCCGACGGCGATGACCTCCAGATCTGGCGAGTGCATGGCCGGGCTCACGTCGTAGCAGAAACTGAGAAAGCACTTTTCAAAAGTCGCCTTTGCGTCTTCCTCGCGGAGGGCCGCCTGCCGAATCTCGTCGTTGTGTGGCACGGAGTGGTGGGTAGTGGGGATGCTCGATCTAGAGGATGAAAATACGGTGCCCATTTTATTATTGCTGCCGGTGGGGGTGATGGTCTGGGGCTGCTCCTTCTAGCGGTTCGTTGCAAGCCGGTGCTGTGTAGTCTTTGGAGAGCAGCCGAGATCTTGATCTACTCCACAAAGAAACAACAAGCGGGGACAGCCGCCTCTACGCTGGTACAACTACCCGATGACTGTGGTAGATAGGCGAACGAGGGCACTGGCAAGGCTATACGACACAATGAGAGTCGTGTGCGTGCATCGACCATCTTGGCTTTCTCGTGTCTCACGAATCGCTTAAGGCCAGCGGCGGGGGAAGAAACAGAGATGATCCAGATCGTGCAAGCAGCTCAAAACAACAATTTCCCTCATAGACACGAAGATCATCGGGTGCTGCGGGAAAGATCGGCACCATCTTCCACTATCCTGTAAAGAACCTCCTCTGCAGAAGACGAAGGTTTGGACCAACACCTTAAGACCGCTGTACTCATGCAAAATGAACTCCTCCGACGAGATCATCGTCCCGCTGCATGAATGCAGCTAGAAACAGCAGTATGAGCCGCAGGCTGCTTTTTTGAAGATTGACAATCGCGCAGCTTTTTCTGTAGGAAAGGGATCACAAAAATCGCATTACACAGTTCCATCAGCGTGGCAACTATGTAAGGGTCGACCACAAATTCCAAATTCAGTTTCCGCAAAAGCGCCCCGAGAGAACCACCTGAACCTGGGATCGTCCTCGACACGAGGACCTCACGACCATTGTCCCGCACAACTACCTTCGTCTTCAAGTCAAATACTTTCGCGAAGAACGACGGCATGAGAATGGACGGCAGGAGCATCAAGTTGCTTTGCGCCGTCGCGAGCGCGCCCTGTCCAAGCTTCATGCGTTCCGCCTCCTGCTGAAACGTGCGCTGCAACACATCCCCGCCGAAGTGCAACATGTACAGCAGATTGTTCACCCAGAGCACCCGGGTGGGGTTTTCTGCAAGGTAGACATTCAGATACGCGGCAATCTCCACCAGGGCGTGCGATTGCAGTAAGAAAACCGCGCCGCGGTTCAGAATGGAGTTCTTGCAGCTCTCATTTGCACGGTCGTCGGACGAAGAACCGGAAGCCGAGGTAATATTCGGCGCCTTGTCTTGATGTCCCGTGAACGTTCGCAACACCGGTATCAGAAGCAAGCTGTTGACGATCAACGCGACGCGCGCCAGCCGCTCGCTGATGCTGTCTGAGCCGCCGCCCCAGCGGTTGTCGCCGAATTTTTGACGGTAGTACATCGTACTGACTGACCCGACATACGTCGGCAACGTGCGGCAGACCATCAGGAGGCCGAGAAGCCGAAGTTTCCGGCTCTCCGCAAAACCCGGGAAGAAGGTTTGGAAGGGTTTGTGGAAATAACGGTTGGTGAGGCTTGTTTTGGATACGGCAGTTGATGCTGAGACTTGGTGTTGGTCGTTGTTATTTCTCCTGCTTCCCGTACCCGTGGTGTCTACATCGGTCGCCCGATTCTGGTCCACCTCGTGTTCGTGATGTTGCTCAGCATCTTCCCGTATTTCCGCCTGCTTCGTGCCTTCTCCCAGGCGGATTGAAAAGTTCTCAGCCGTTGCCGCGGTGAGCAAATTCTTGCTCGAAGTGCCCGCCACTTTTCCACTATAATTGCCGTGCTGTTTCTCGGTCGTCTTTTCGGTTGCTGGCTCACCCGAAGAACTACCCGTGATGGACCCGCCCTCCTCCGCACGACTTCTTGTCCGCAAAAACAGCACCGCGCTGGCAAGAACGGCGATCGCCCCGTGGCAGAAGTAGCTCAGCTCCGGCTTGTCTTTATACGGGAAGAATGTTTGCCCGGCAAAATTCCCCAACAACCCCGTTGCCAAGGCGACGCGAAACACGATCTGGTTTTGGTTCACCGCTTCCAACGAGCCGTGGCCGACGAGGTCGCCGAGCCACGCGGAGCACGCCCGGAACACGCTGGGAAACACGGTGGTGAGAATTAGTTGGTGTAAGACGAAAATCGGCTTCATGAAGTTCCGTGCCTTTGTAGTTCTCGTCGGTTGTTGTACTTCTATGCTTGTGGTCTCGAGCCCGTTCTGACCTTCTTGACCACTGCAGGTGACCGCCAGCACCATTTTCGCGACCCCGAGAATGAAAAAGCCATTGACCATCGTCCGTACTCGGCTTTTGTCCAGGCGCCGGTTCAACATCGGGGTCACAAAAAAGTCCAGTAACGTACAGAGCTCGGATATCACAGGAAAAAAGTGTTACAGTTACACATTTGTTGGAGTTTCTGCATCTGCTCGACATGGCAAACAAGACCTGTGATGCGCAAACTATAAAGGGAAAACACGAAGGAAGTGAGGTTGGCAAGCATCTCCTGCATGACAGAGTTTATCTGTCTTGCTTGTCTCCCATCAGAGTGTGTAACTGTAACACTTTTTTCTCACGATATGGGAAATTTGGGAGGAGAAATTCGCTACATTGGTATGTTGGAGTTGCTGGGCCTGGGCATCAGGGGCGGGACGGGTTGAGGATGTTCTTGTCGTTGCAGCTGTCCCACCACTTGTTGTCGTGGACGACGCTCCTCCGTTCACGACCTTGTACAGCAAGTTCGTCCGGCTACTGGCCAGCAGTCCCATCCCGAAAGCGTTGATGCCACGGACCAGACAGATCAGCCGCAGCCGGTCTTGACGGGCCTGGAGGATTTGATGTTGTTGCTCTCCTTTTTCATCAACATCTTCGCCTGTGTCTTCAGGGACCACCACATTCGGTGATGTCGTGGGAACTTTCTCTCGCCGGGCTTGCAGCTCCTCGAAAGGCCCTTCTTCACGCCCGCCCTGAGCTTGAGCAGGGTTTGATGTTGCAACATTACCTCCCAGTGAGTTCTTGAGGTTAGGGCGGCGTTCGTGGGCCCCTACTCGCATTTTTGGAAACCGATCAGGATCCTCTTGAAGCGCGGAACAACGAACGCAGAAAAGTTCTACAGACTGGGCAGGAACGCAAAAACCAAACTTTTTCGCAGTAGATGGGCGAAACTAAAGCCTTAGTCATAAGGGACGACCTTCTGGATTAATGCTCCACAAGCGCTAGGAATAGGAAAACAAACAAAAAGAGAGAAAAAGATGAACAACAAAACTCAAGAAACGCAATCACGTCATCTAAAACAAGAAGAAGATTCCTTTGAACAAGGTGCGGATTCATATTTTGTGCATATCGTGCAGCTATATGCTTTTTCAATATCCTCGTCGCGTTCTTTCCGTCTAGAGCACGGCTCAAGGTTGTGATACAACACAGCCTGTTCCGTATTTCATGATCTGCTCCGTAAAATTACCATTTTGTCAAGCCACGATGTCCAAAGCGAGAGAAACCAAAATACCTTTTACCTATGCTAGTTCATGTACGTTCTATTTCTACTTCTTGTACGGTGTGCAGCTCAGAGTCCTGTTTCATCATGACATCATGTCGTGTGGTGTGAATCGTTGAAAAACCAAATCGTACATTAATGCTGCCGATGCGTCTCCTAAAACATAAACAGACCATCCGACAAACCATGTGTTTGCTAATTGCATAATTACAGTTAGCGATTATTTGATGAAGTAAGCAAAAAAAGGGGGAAGAGGAGTTGTAAAAAAGCACCATCCCTTTAGAGGAGACAGTGACGGCGATGGTGTCAGTGGAAAATCAAATTCGGGGTCCGGTAGACTTAGACATGTTCAAATATATCTTTTCTAAAACGCTTGTCTTTTTATTTTGCAAACCGATACTAGAAGTACACTACGGTAGCGCCCATTTTCTTTATCAGACCGCCTTCCTCTGGTCGATAATGATCCTCTTTGTGCAACATCAAAGGCGTAGAAAGGGGATAAAATCGTTGTGACTTGTCTTGCTTCAACATCACCCCTCGTCGCGAGTGCTCAATGATTTCTACGGGAGAATTTTATGACATGTGCCTGCTTGCTCCTGGTAGAAGCATGCAGCTTTACAATCTTTTTATTTCTACCAACGAACACAAGTCAAAGTCTTTTGCCGTAAGACAATGAAGTTACGGCTGCTGCATCTGGATTGTGCGGGCCTGTCCTCGTGGCGACGCTTCCTGACTGGACCCCTCCAAGTCCTTATTGGACTTCCGGTTCATCACATTTTCGCACGCGAACGGGATCTCCAGGGGCGTCGAGAAAAACTGCTCCAATATGACGTTCTCAAATGTTACATTCTCAACTGTTACACGATTTCTCATGCAAAATGACAATCAGAATCGACATGATCAAGCTGCTTCGCATGGCAAATTCTCGAAGAGCCCAACAGGCTGAGAATCCGTGCCAAATCTGTCATGCAAGACGCGTTAGGTCCCCTCTTTTACTGTTGCCGTTCTTGCATGACAAATCCATGTAACAGTTGAGGATGTAACAGTTGAGAACGCCATATCCAACCGACCCACCTTGCGATCCTCGTCGAAAACCTGGATCATATAGCGATTTGTGTTTTAACTTTGAACAAGAAGATGCTGTTGGTATGTTCACAAAGAACAAGAAAGACCAGACAAAGAGAAGGAAGGAGCAGCGGAAATGAAAAGCTCAAGGGCACGCCAGGAGAGAAGTGAAGATAACGAAAGTTCTCTTTAAGTACCTGCTGCATCTCGGTAAGATCCAAGCAGTCGCAGGCGAGATAGGCGTTCACGAATTTTTCCACGTCCAGGGTGCGTTCGTCGCCCAGCGTGGCCAGCACCGCCTCGCTCAAAGCCTCGATGCCGCCGGAGCCGAGTGTAATCTTGCCCGAGCCGAACACCTTGCCAAAGCACTTGTTCAAAACATCAGAGTTCACAGAGGCGGCGTGGATGACCTGGATTTAGTTGCATTTTTATTTTTACGAAAAGGATAAGAGAATGAGAAAACCATGCAAAACAAAAAGAAAAAATGCAGAAATAGCATGACTACTTTTAGTGTGTCGGCTACATATGATATGCAGGACGAAGTTTATTGCCAGATAAAAACATCACAACTCCAGTACCCTGTTCCCCTTTTCGTCGGTCAGAAGCAGTTTCGGGTTTTCGTCCTCTACAATCTTACACAGGCCATGGAAGGCCGACACCGCCACCAGAATCCGCGCCGGGGCCACCCTTGTCGCTTCGTACTCGAGGTCCAGGGGCGTCAGCGTCGCGCGCTTGTACTGCAGGGACAGCCGGCCGAGAGCGGTCAGGGCGAACAGCACCACGATGGCGCCCGCGGCACCGAAGTACACCTTGAACACGGCCATACCGGTCAGAAAATCGGTCCAGGAGAAGGCCCCGTAGGCGGAGGAGGTGGACGTGGTAAAGAGAAACCGAATCCCGTAGTAATAGCGCTCGCGGAACTTGCCCTTGTTGAAGTTGCTGTCGCTAAAGTACGAAGTCGTGGGGTTCTCGTACGCCAAGTGGGGGAGGCCGGTCCACATCGCCTGATGAAACGATGAGTCGGAGTAATTTCGTATGATATTTGTCGAACACAGAGAAGATGATTTGCATTTTTTGTTTCTCTCTTTATCATACAACACGACGAAACAAATTTTACCTGATTCACGCTGACTTTGATGAGCGCAACCATGTGATTGTCGAAGCCGGACAAGTCCACGTCATCCAGTATGGTGAGAAAATACAAATAGGTTACTTGATGCCATCACTTGCTCGCCCTCAAGAAATTTGTGATGCCTGTGTGCGTCCTATGCGTTTCTTGATCTGCAACACGAGTTTATTGCAATACGAATTTATTCGTATTCCTTGCAGAGGGGCCACAGGAGGGTGGCAAGAACCTATAAAAAAATGAATATAGCATCTCATATCCGGAATGCGGTTGTGAAAGGCCGGCCCGACGTACTCGATTGAAACCACGACTTCCACGCCCGTGAGCCGGTAGGGCGCCCGTGCGTCGTAGCCCGAGCCCGCCTGATTGCTGGCGATAGACGGGTTGCGCGCGTCCGCGTTTTGCAGGTCGATATCCCCGTTACTGGCGGCCGCCACCCAGTCTTGCAGCGTCAGGGTAGGGGGGTTCGGGACGCCCGCGGTCTCCGAAAACCGGCACTGCCCGGGCTTGCCGCCCACCTGTACGTAGGAGCAATCGTACTCGGAGTAGGCACCGTCCTGGTCTTTCCGCATGATAATGGACACCACCGGCAGTTTGTTCTCATCCTCGTCCGCAACCGCTTTTGGGGTTCCAGAGGAACCAGAAACCTCCGTGTCCGCGGCGGTAACCTAAAGGTTTTTATTTGGTGCTTTGCTCTGCCTGATGTGCTGTAGCTTTGATATGTTTTTGCAGCATTCGATGTTCACGTTGTTCCATATTGATTTCTTGCGGAGCACTGTAATGAAAATGCAATGCTGGCCCTGGCGTCCATGCTTCTCATGCATCACAGACGCTTGCGCTTCTGCATGATCTCGTTTTTATTTGCCCACGTGCAATAGACATTCCAATTTCTGTACCTTGAAGATGTGCTCAAATGTCATTTTCCTAGACGATACACCCGCGACGAGGTAGTGCGACTGTTGGTTACACGCGCACTTTCGGACGTTCTGGTGAGCGTGCGACGGGGACTGCGAGCCAGCTGGGCCGTTCCACGCCGGGACATTGTTTTCCGTCGCGTCCTCGAAGCACTTCTGGCCGAAGTTGTATAGCGGCGCTTGCGAGAGACTGTTGTGGCTGCAGCTGACAGAGCTCGTGCAAAACGATGCGGAGCTGCAGGTGCTCCCAGATTCCGTCTCCACGATGGTTTCGCGGAAGTAGGTGGGGAAGTAGATCTCGCGCTTGCCGATCTTGAACCCGGCCTCCGCCTTGGGGGTCTGCAGGCACTGGTAGGCCCCGTGGGTCCAGCCCGCGGAGTACTTGTACAGGAAGGACTGGTTGTCGCGGCAGATGTCCGAGTTGTAGTCCGTGCTCACCGCCGAGGCATCCGCGTTCCCCGAGCCGCCCACCCAGGCGTTTGGAAAGCCCTGCGGAATCTGCACCACGTAGTACATCCGCTCCTTGATGAACTGCCACAGCAACAGCGATACGACCAACACCTGGATGCCGAGCTGGAACAAGGACAGCTTCCCATTGCGAATCGCAACCTCCTTCGGAATTTTAATCGGGTAGATCTTGCCCAGACGGACCATCCTTGCGACTATTTCTGGGTGGCAACGAAATGCGACGCTGCGACAACTATCGACGAACCAGACAGCCGGGAACGTCAGCTAAAAGAGAACCAGACTTTGATTTTTCTCCTATGTGAGTTTGCGATGGATGAATTGGCTCCCATTGGTTCAATATGACGATTTAGATTGTTTACCGATTACCAGTCAACATTTCGGGAACGGGAAGACATCTTCAAATTCATGGCGGCGTTTTTTCTTCTCGTGTTTGCTTGCCCGGCGGGACATCGCCACTCACTAGAATTGGTTTTGTGTTTATTCTTCGGTGGACTTCTATAGCACCATGGAGCGCTGCTAGGCCCACACTTTTGCAAGAACATGAACAAACGGATTGATACATGATTGAAGGTCGGTCCTTGGTTGATGTTCCTTCATCACAGTGGTTCCGTTCATTGTTAGAGAGTTCTTGCGTGACGTTTTTCCTTAGAGTTTATTTCGTTCTTGTGTGGCTCTTTTATATTGACTTTGTTCTCGAAACAAAATGCTAACTTATGCGTAGGATGCATAGGTTTTTTATTTTTGATTCTAATCAAAAACATCAAAGAAGATTGAATTAAGGGAATATGATCGTAACATGCCTGCCTTCGGCTGAAATTCTTGCAGCGCCTCTGAAAGTCGAATCTCTGTTCTACCGGGACCGGGAGGTCCCAGTAGAACTGGACATCATGATCTTAGTGTGCGTGATAAAAAATTCTATGCTATAAAATACGCCGGCTTGTGCAGACATAAAACCGCATTTTATCATGAAACAGGCTTGGTGCTCTAGTCGCAAAAAAAGAATGTCACATCTCCTGCGGTCCGAGCTTGTGGATAATTCCTAAACAGGTGAGGCACGTCGGTGCACAGACACCCATTCTCGGCGCAAGCTCTTATTAAACCACTGAGAGAGCGGCCCGGTGACTAGCCGGATGTCAATCATGTTATGATCTTAATCGCGTACATACTTAAAAACAACGAAACCAATAAATATGTTGCACCTGATTTTAGAAGTGTGGCAGCACGTACTACGGCTGCACGATTCACATCATGCTCATGTAGTGCATCATGTGAGCAAACAGGCGCAGGTGGGATCTACTACATGATCCATAAGATAATCTCCGTCTAGATGAATATCTATCACAACGTATTCTTGATGCGACAAGTCTCCTGTGCAGTCTCACATCTTCATCATCATTCGCCCGCCGGCCTTCTGTTGGACAGCAGCTGCTGCCAGTTGCGGTCCGTGTTGTCCCTCTTCCCGACCCGCCTGCTCCTTACCCAAGTAGTTCTTGTTTCGGCGCGCGGCAGCCTTCAGCTGGCCGGCCGCGACGCTCATCCCGATGATGTAGCAAACCGTCGCCGCGACGTGCCGGAAGAAAGTGGCCCAGTGCGGATCGTCGTCGTGCAACTCTTCGCCGCAACCGTTCGGAAACTTGACAAGCGGGGCGATGCAGAAAAAACCGGTCCCGCAACCAGCGAAAGCCAAGCAAAACTGCTTGGACGCCGCGACGCGCTCCCGTGTGGTGTCATCCGTACATTGCAGCACCTGCGCCATCGCCCGGGGGAGCCAGTACTGCATGCCCACCGCCGCGAGCACATAGAGAAACGCGGCCGCCTGCATCAACGACACGTCCGTCTGGCAATCGACCGGGAGCCACTCATGCGTCGCTGGCATCAGGTTCAGAATCGAAATGAAGCCCGAAATTCCGAGAAAAATCTGATGATTTGAGATTCATTTTGATTTTGTGCGAGAGATCATTAAAGCCAGGTACTTAGTATCCGCAGCATAATCAATCGTGAAAGAGAAAGGAATGAAAAATGGGTATGGAAATACTTTACAAAGTTAAAAATCTACTACCTGTGCGGTCCTGGCCTGTTTCTCTCCACCGGCTGTACTAGCAAGCACCGGACGAGCACCCGCTCCTGCGGGTCCACCTTGACCAGCAGTGATCCGGTCGGCTCCAGTAGTCGTACCAGTGGTCGCGGCGCTGCTGCTAGAATCCTCGGCAGAAGTACTTATCGTGCTCGTACTAAAACTAACTGCAGTCGCGCAGGTACAAATCCAACCTTCTAGCTCTACCCAAACCAGCATAACAAATTGCAAGTTTCTTCTCTGGCAATAAAATTTGTGATGCAGTTCATACTAGCACGATACTTTTGCAATGCGTACCTAGGAAGATTCAGCAATTCGGTAATCATCTCGTCCGAGCAGTCGTCCACGCGGTCCAGGTACAGTTTGGTCGCGCAGGCGGCCATATCAAATGCAAAAATGTCTCCTGGGTCTGGAAGGTTCTAAACTTGTAATGCTGTCTCTGGATTCTGAAAAAATTTATATTGCATGACCAGCAAGAGAGCTCCAGTTTGTGCTACGCGGAAAGGGAATTTCTCATGCGGCAGAGGCATCACAAAGTCCTCTAAAAATCTGTGATGCCAGGGCATACATCAAAGACGTCACGGGCCATTCAAAATATGCATGACAAACCTGGTATTAATCTTCCAGACCCACACATTTGTGCATTTGATAGGCCATGGTCGCCAGCCCAACGCCGGAGAGGTAAAGATAGAACGCCGAGCCCCAGCTCTCCGTGTCGTAGTCGTGCGCTTTCGCGGCCGCATTGAAGCAGTTGGCGGACCAATGGACGAGGGCAACCACGTTCAGCAGTAAGAAGGCGAAGCTGAGCAGCAGAAAAGCCGGCCGGACAAGGTGCTGCTTCTCGACGACAACGGTGCGCAAAACCCACTGCTGGAATTCCGTCCGCGGGGCCTTCGAAGGGTTCAGGATGGGGAGGAGCAACAGAACTGTGGACAGCAGACCGAGCAACAGGAAGACAAGGCCGGCGGTCGCCAGTGAAGAGGCGGCCTTGCAATCCTTCGGAAAATCTTCGGAGTCGCCGGCAAGGTCAACAAGCTCGCTGTACGAGTACGCGACCTCTAGCTCGTTGTTAATCCAAACGGAAGTGCCGTACAGGTTAAAGTCTGAGGGGTATGGGACCCTCAAACTACGCTACTATACATTCTTGTCGTTACATGGGTTTGTGCTGCAAAACTAGCAAAAGTGAAAGGGGGGCGGCGCCTGTTGCGCTTTTTGAATTACAGGCTTCTTTGGCGCAGATTCTGATTCTATTTGGCGCGTCGAGAACTTCTTGTACTTGTCACGCGAAGCAGCAGCTTCATCATGCTACTAGATATTGATGGCAATTTTCATTTTGCATGCCAAATCATGCCACAGTTGAGAATGTAACGTTAACGTTTGAGAATCCCATAGGGAGATCTTCAACCTTGTTCCGCCAGCCGCACTACTGCTCGTCGTGGTGATGCTCGTTCCCGAACTGCTGCTCGTTCCCGAACTGCTACTCTGGACTGACGATGTTGTTGTTGACAGGGGACTGCAGTAGCCCCATCCACCTGCAACCTCCGAGCACCATATCCCTCCGCTATCACCATCCGGATTCCGGCAGTAATTGTGGTCAGCACTGTAAACGTGATCCCACATAGAACCGCGCCAGGTGGCGCAAGGACTGCCAGTTCTGGTCCGCGTCTGACACCCCCGGTAGTCGCGTCCGATGCCGGTCATGCTCTCGTCGCAGTTTCCGTTCAGTAAGCGGGTCGTGGTCCTTAAAGTCCTCCTCGTGCGGATGTGGTCAGTCAGCGTCCCCAGCGCCAGCCCGCTTTCCACGTTCCCCCCGACCAGCACGATGAAGCAGATATTCCGTGAAAATTAACCAGTTGTCATGCAAAACATGTAGTAAAATCTGTGTTTGTCATGCAAAAAGTGAATGGGGATGGCTAATTTTCAGGGAATAGCAGAGCAAAAAGGCGACCGATGCCCACACACCGCCCAGCACGCTGATGTACTTCAAGTTACCGACGAGTGCAACCTATGCATAAAAATTCTTGCACAAGTATCGTCTTCGTCCAGAATAGGGAGTTGATTGTGAAATACAAAAAATTTTGGGAGAACGATTCTCATGGTGCTTTTATTACGATCAAATATAGATTTCTTTTTATTCTGCACCTAATACTACGACGCACGAAAATTTACCTGCTGCTCTTGGGTCATTGCGTCGTGAATGGTCGACTGCTTGCTGGGCGAGGCCGGATCCTCCACTGCGACGGCGTTTTCGCCACCACCAGCGGTAGCTTCTTGTTGTGCGATCACGATCATGGTCGCCATCCCGGCAGCTCCTTGTTCCATCGGCACACTCAGCTATAGGAGGGCACAATTCGTCCTCTTCCTCCTGATCTACAAGGCATGAGCAGGAATAGACATGTCAGCAAGGGAAAAAGCTGCGCAACTGTTGCATGACAAATTCAGATTCACCTACGGTTGTAGTCGTGTTCCTTGGGCTGCAGGAGCACGTCATGCGAAAAGTACCAAGAGGGAAACAACGCAAAGACAAAGCGTGGATGTGGGTTTGGCTTTTTTCATGAGAAGAAGAAATGTGGTAGAGCAGGGGGAGTTCAAGTTGTGCACTCTCATATTAGACCTGCGGTGTTGACCAGCATGCTCGGTTGTTCGATGACCTTCGCCACGCCAGCGTCTTTGCCGGTAACAGTGGTAGCAGCCACACCTTGAATGCCGTCCGCCGTTAGCAGTACCGGTGGTTGCACAGAACCAGCAGGGTCGGCGGCAGAGGGATCAGTTTCTTCCTTGTGGTGCTTCTCGCGGTTTTTTTGCTCGTGCTTTTTCTTCTTGTACCCCTTGCGATTCCATCCAAAATCGGCTTGCACCTGCAGTGGAAGCTTGCATGTTAAACTTAATAAAACAAGGAACGACACGATGCTGCAATCATCATCACTCGCCACATCACTACCATGATCTCATACTACATTACAACTTTACAATCTCAACAAGCCCCTCCTTGTTTGTTCACACCAGGAGCCAAAAAAGCCGACTCCTACCTTCGCCCCCGAGCAGTTCCGGTAGCAGTACCTAATCGAGCCGAAACACGCCAAGCCGGCCAAGACGCAGAATAGCGCAATCCCAAATGCGCCGCTGTTATGGCGTTCTCAACTGTTACATTCTCAACTGTTACACGAATTTGTAATGCAAGTAGAATAGCAAAAGTCAAAGGGGGGCGGCTGCACATCTAGCATTACAAATTTCGCACAGATTTAGGCGCTCTTTAGCCCTTCGCAAATTTGTCATGCGAAGCAGCTTGATCGTGTGGGTGATGATAGTGCTTTTGCATGACAAATTCATGTAACAGTTGAAAATGTAACGTTTGAGAACCCCATAGCTGTCCTCCTCGCAGTCGGAACCGCCATGCTCGCAGGCTAATGCGATCCGGGCGGTGGCGGTGAGGAGGAGGAGAACGAGAGGGAGAATGGTCACGGAGGGTGCCATCATGAAGCCTGATGACTTCGAGGAGAAGCAGGGCCACGAGAGTTGGAAGGAGGACGGCATCTTGTTCAACACTTGTGCCGGCCGGGTTGCTTACTGTCGTACCGGAAGGCAAACACGAAGACGTACAAGATGAAAACTCACTGCCGCGGTCAGGTTTTGTTGACGGCAGCGGCACAGACGCTCGCTACTGCCGCGTGCTATCTAAAAACAATGAAGAATGTGAGTGGGAGTGCTACACCACGTTCGTTTTGGTATCGCTCTACTACTCGTACTCCTGACGCTGGATACAACTGCACCAGTAGATGCTTGTTGCCTCATCCTGGTTGTAGTTGCTCTCATGAATGTGTGCCCTGTACAAGGTATTTTTTCGTGCTCGCCTAGTTTTGTGCACTCAGTCCACTTTGGGGTTGCAGTCTTTTGACGTTGACTACTCAATTTGCGCAAACAAGAAGTTGTGGAGGTTTATTGTCGTGCGGGATGCACACTGATGTAGTCTCTTAACAACGTTCATGTTGCGCACAACCCCAACTACATCTAAGCGAGCGTTGCTATTTTACTGAGCTCAATATCACGGTCAACGAGGCGGTCGACAGTTTGAATGTTTTTGTTTGGCGAGCGCCCTCCGCGTATATATTCTGTTTACCAGACTAGTATCTTTTCAGTGGACATATATGATCCCAACTTTCGCGCTGCGCAAGTCCAAGCTGCTTTTTTCCATTCCGAATTCAACATTTTAAAAATTTCAATCTTACACCATATCACTTCGAATGTTTTCAAGACAATAGAGCGGTTAACGAGGGCTCTTGTGGTTGACGTAGTACTCTTACCGCTCTACTAGTACTGCACCGGCGTAGTCTGCGCAGAGAACGTTAAACGCATCCCACGCGCATCGAACTTGGTCTTTGGTCTCCAGTGTACCTCGATTCCCCGCTGTCTCAATGCAAGAACGACTGGCAAATCCTGTAAGTCCGCAGCTATCCAGTTGAATAAAAGGTGGTCGGATTCAAATCAAGTTTCTTGCATTTTAGCTGCGGCTCCGCCAAGAATTCGATAAACACAGGGATAACAATAGTCATACATAGTGCGCATGGTAGCATGACCACCGTGCCCTTCCTAGCTATGCAATAAAAAATCCGGCAGCAGCATGTAAGATTCCCGATAGTCCCAACTCTTTTTGTTTTTTGGATAGCGTTCACTTTACCCTCGACCTGCATCCCGATGTAGACCAAAGGGCAGAAACAGATTCCACACGTCATGAGCAACAGCGGCACGCCCAAGGGATTTTGCCACAGCCATGACATCGAAAAGCGCCAGCACCTAGCATCAGCGAACTCTGTCGAGGACGTGCCGCCGCCCGGTAAGGAGGCAACAAGGAATGCTACATCTTGCATTGCGAATTAGCAGGCACATTATTCATTGTCCATGTGCTGCTCTTACCACGACTTGCAGGTCCTTTCACAACCCCGGATCATGTGTTCGCTAACGCTCGATGCAGCACATGTTTCAATTTTTCGTCCGATACTATCCCATTTTTGTCAATCGACGCGTTGACGCTTTTCGCGAGGTCAGCCCACTCACCCGGTGTCACGTACTTCGCAGTAAAATCCAGGGTCTGCTGACTGGACGCGAGGTTGTAGCCACTTCGGGTCATGTCCTCGGGGAGCTTGTGGCTCATCATGTTCGGCACGACGACCGAATTCATTGCCGGCATGGTTTTTAGGATCCTATGTCACAATCTTCTTGGGCAACGAGCATGGGCTCAACACTTACTGAGGGGGCGCAGTGGGGTGTGCGTGTGTCTTCCGCAAGCGCAACAAAAAGAAAAACAATGTAGTGCAAGCTTCTTAGACAAAAAAAAAACTATTTCTTTGTCAGGCGAGCTTGAAGAGCTGCCCTCGTCCTGTCATGGTTTCCTGAATGTTAATTTCAAGTAGGTCAGTTCTACCACAACCGTTAGGGTCTTTAAATGTGTTCAGGATTTTAAATATTTTTTGTCATGTATGGGATCCGTCCAAAGCGCCGCGCCTCCGACCGGGGTCGCCACGTTGGCCGCACAGCGCGCCGCCATGATCTGAGCCAGGGTCTTGCCGCTTTTCAAATTTAACACCGAGAAATCCGCACTTTTTTCGAAAATGCGACTGCACTCTTAGCCTGGGGCCCCTACCATGTGGCCCGAACACCTGGACCACCAGCGGCCAGGCCCCGAGACTTCCGGCCGCCGCGGGAGCGGCGGCCGCGCGCCCACGACCGCTCGCGCCGGTCGGAATTCCGGCCTGGCGCCGCCCGCGCCGCTCGGGGCGCTTCCGGCCGCTCGGGCCCTTGCCGGCGCTCCGGGCCGCTGCCGGGAGCGGGACGGGCTCGAGCGGCGCAGCGAGCGGCCCGGGCCGCTCGCGCCTCTTCGCTGCGTTCGCGGCGCCACGGTGCGCTCGGTGGAGCGGAAGGCTTCCAGGGGCGCGAGCGGCACCGCCCTGCGCCCCGGCGCGGGGGCGGCCGAGCGGCCCGGACGGCTGCGCGACGGCTTCGCGTGCGCGACAATTTATTTTTTTGCTGCTACACATTAATTTGAAAAAACGAGCGCGATTTTCTTCTATCTCGCTCTCATGCCATTTTGCGAATCCGAAAGAACGAACCGACGCGCGCGCGTGCCCCACCATCTTTGTTCCCCATGTGAGCCAGACTAGAATAGTCTTGCGTCACTGGAATGTGGTTAGCCATGCAAAATCAAATGTAAGTTTTCATTTTGTCAACGTATTTAAAGCATCAAGCGGCTGTGGTAAACTGACCTACATAATTAATTGTCTGCGCTGGATTGCAAAAAGAAAAACAAATACGAAAATAGCGTATAGGTACACATGCCCGCCGTGCACTAAGCTGCAAATAGGTGCTAAATAATCCAAATTTTGCACAGCGAACCACAGATGTAGAAGAAAGCTTGTGTCTTTACTTATTTTCCTGCTTCTCGTCCGGCTCAGGATCCGCTCGTACCAGCCTCGTCGCTTACTGTGTTCTCTCACGGTCACTTCTCTCTGAGTCAAGAAGAAACCCACATGACGGAAAGGGTTAAACGGGGCGTCCCACCAAAGGCCAAACCGCGAAATTTCAAAAATTTATTCTTGTTGCGAAAAAAAATCCGCGAAATTTGAAAACTTTATTTTTGTTGCATCAAAAACCGAAGGTCTTCAGACTTTCACGTCTGTTGTCCGAGCAAATCCGACAACTCCAGTGCCCTGCGGCTCAGAGCTGCTAGCACAGGTGGGTAGCTTTGCTTTTGAAGGGACGTCCCGTCAAGGGTCAAATCGTCTCCGGAGCTGCCAGCGCGGGTGGGTCATTTTGTCCTTGACGGAACGTCCCACCAAGGGTCAAATCGTCCCCGGAGCTGCTGGAGCGGGTGGGTGGTTTTGCCCTTGACGGGACGTCCCGTCAAGGGTCAAATCGTCTCCAGAGCTGCCAACACAGGTCGCCGGTTTTGCCCTTGCCGGGACGTCCCGTCAAGGGTCCAATCGCCTCATGATCTGCCAACACGGGCAGCCGGTTTTGCCCTTGACAGGACGTCTCGTCAAGTGTCAAATCGTCCCCGGAGCTGCCAAAGCACCTGTGCAGTTTTGCCCTTGATGAGACGTCCCGTCAAGGGTCAAATCGTCTCCGGAGCTAGGAACACGGGTGGACGGTTTTGCCCTTGACGGGACGTCCCGTCAAGGGTCAAATCATCTCCAGAGCTGCCACAACGGGTAGCCGGTTTTGCCCTTGACGGGACGTCCCGTCAAGGGTCAAATCATCTCCAGAGCTGCCAACACGGGTAGCCGGTTTTGCCCTTGACGGGACGTCCCGTCAAGGGTCAAATCATCTCCAGAGCTGCCAACACGGGTAGCCGGTTTTGCCCTTGACGGGACGTCCCGTCAAGGGTCAAATCATCTCCAGAGCTGCCAACACGGGTAGCCGGTTTTGCCCTTGACGGGACGTCCCGTCAAGGGTCAAATCATCTCCAGAGCTGCCAACACGGGTAGCCGGTTTTGCCCTTGACGGGACGTCCCGTCAAGGGTCAAATCATCTCCAGAGCTGCCAACACGGGTAGCCGGTTTTGCCCTTGACGGGACGTCCCGTCAAGGGTCAAATCATCTCCAGAGCTGCCAACACGGGTAGCCGGTTTTGCCCTTGACGGGACGTCCCGTCAAGGGTCAAATCATCTCCAGAGCTGCCAACACGGGTAGCCGGTTTTGCCCTTGACGGGACGTCCCGTCAAGGGTCAAATCATCTCCAGAGCTGCCAACACGGGTAGCCGGTTTTGCCCTTGACGGGACGTCCCGTCAAGGGTCAAATCATCTCCAGAGCTGCCAACACGGGTAGCCGGTTTTGCCCTTGACGGGACGTCCCGTCAAGGGTCAAATCATCTCCAGAGCTGCCAACACGGGTAGCCGGTTTTGCCCTTGACGGGACGTCCCGTCAAGGGTCAAATCATCTCCAGAGCTGCCAACACGGGTAGCCGGTTTTGCCCTTGACGGGACGTCCCGTCAAGGGTCAAATCATCTCCAGAGCTGCCAACACGGGTAGCCGGTTTTGCCCTTGACGGGACGTCCCGTCAAGGGTCAAATCATCTCCAGAGCTGCCAACACGGGTAGCCGGTTTTGCCCTTGACGGGACGTCCCGTCAAGGGTCAAATCATCTCCAGAGCTGCCAACACGGGTAGCCGGTTTTGCCCTTGACGGGACGTCCCGTCAAGGGTCAAATCATCTCCAGAGCTGCCAACACCGGTAGCCGGTTTTGCCCTTGACGGGACGTCCCGTCAAGGGTCAAATCGTCTCCGGAGCTGCCGGCACGGGTGGGTGGTTTTGCCCTTGACGGGACGTCCCGTCAAAGGCCAAACCGCGAAATTTCAAAAATTTATTTTTGTTGCGAAAAAAAATCCGCGAAAATTGAAAACTTCATTTTTGTTGCATCAAAAACTAAAGGCTTTCAAACTTTCACGTCTGTTGTCCGAGCAAATCCGACAACTTCATTGCCCTGCGGCTCAGAGCTGCTAGCACAGGTGAGCAGTTTTGCCCTTGACGAGACGTCCCGTCAAGGGTCAAATCGTCCCCCTCGGCTACCCACCCACGCCTATCCCTATTGTATCAATAAGAGCAATCGACCACTTTTCCCTTGTTCGCGCGACGCTCTTCCGATATACAAGCGGTCGCGCTGAATAATGGAAACATAAACATCGACTTGGGGATGAACCACAGCATTTACAAATATCTTCGTTGCCGGAAATGAGATGCTCCGGCTGCGCCGCCGTGTCACCCATTTGCATTCTTCAATTGGCGTTTGTGCATCTTCAGGAAAGATAACATTTTACATTCACTAAACTCATCCCATCGTCCGAAAACAAAGTTCCAGTTTCTCATTTCATTTTCTCTAAAAAAATCAGTGGCATCATCATCAATTTTATCGTATCGAAAAACTCAATATCACTTACAACAAATTTTTATCAAACCGGATGTGAAGTAGACAAAGGGTATTTCTGGCGATGAAACTTAGCAAAGCGACATCTTCAGTGAATAAGACTTAAGTTCATTCTGTGAATAAACTAAAGTTCATGCAATAACATATCTCGAAAGTTGCGCCAAGCCGGAAACCATAGATGCGAAAATTCAAATTCTGTCTGTGCAAAACCAAGAAGAAATAAGGATTAAGATAGGTAAGTAAAGAAAAGGAGCAAAAATCCAGTGATAACTGCGACTGCCAATCTTGTAACTGTAAGAACCTGAACTCTGCAATCAAATCAAAAATGTACTTTTTTGACCACTAGGAATCACGCAACGAGGATGCAAGCCTCTAGACGAAGCACGTCTCACTCTTAATCTTATGCCTCCTTTACCTGTGCATGTGATGTTCACATTATCCACACCACATATCAAGCCCACACACATTACTTTGTTCCACCGTTAAACAACACAGGACCGTGGTGAAAGTCACAACCTAGTTGGTGAAAGTCAAATCCTCGCCGGGAAAGTAGGGACTGGACGGAAGTTGTTGCACGTGAAAAGCGATGGACTCCGGGTCGGCGCCCTCAGCGCGCACGAGACCCAGTATCTCGGCTGCTGCGCAACGGAAAGTCTGCACGTCGTGCGCCCTGCCTTCCTCGGTAGTCAAAACCAGTTCTCCGTTGTCGTACCCGTACCACGTCCCGTTCCGGATGGCTGTCTGCAGGTTGTCCGCCTGAACCCGGGACAGCATCGGATAACTGACCGGCACGCGGTTGAGGCGGAGCTCGAACGCGGCGTCAAAAGCGAACTCCATGTCGATCATGGTGGCCTTCCTCCGCCGCGCGTCCCACAGCGTGTTTTTACTGTGCAGATCGAGGTGGATGATGTTCACCTCGTCGCTGTGGAGGTGCAGCAGAGCCGAGGTGAGTTGGCGGACTGCCAGTTGACGGTCCGCGTCCGGGAACTCCTCTTTGCTTCCCGCAGAGAGGTCGCGGAGGTCCACCCCGTCGTAGTCCATGAACAGAATAAGCAGCTTGTTATCCGCCCTCGCGTACGCCTGGATTTCCTGCCGAAAAAGGTCCTGGTACTTGGAGAAGGACACGAAATGCCAGTTGGCCTTGCGGGTCTCCAGCTCCGCTTCCGTCTCATTCCTTTGGTCGTGCGAGGCCGGCAGCGCGAGACGGTGCATCATGTCGATCTCGTTCTGCAGTCCCGGACTGTCACCGGTCCCGTCCTCGTAGCTGTCCAGGTGGGTTTCGACCTTGATGAAGGCAACAATTTGCGGCTCGGCCGGAGGACCACGATCCTGCACAAGAAGCGCGGGGGGCGCTGCAGCTGCAGCAACTACTACAGGGTCGTTTCGTTCGCGCTGTTGGTCACCAGCACCAGCAGCATTGTTCACCTCCTGCCCAACGCCGAACCCTTCAGGAGCTGGATCTTTGGGCTGCTCTTCTTGTTGCGCATGAACATGATCATGATCTTCTTGATGATCTTCATCCATGTTCTTATCTTCCGCGTTCGGCGCGACCGGAACTGCCGGTACGAGAGGATCGTGGCCGGGCAAAGGTTCATCCACGAGGTCAGGCGAGCCGGCGGACGACGACCCCGCTGCAGCCGAGGAACTGACTCCACCGTCATCGTGCTGTGGCATCTTCAGGGTACGCTGCCCCTTTTTCCGGGTTTTATTGTCCGGCGCCTTTCTTTGCGGGTCGTAAGCCAGCGCGAACACCTTGCCGGGCACCACCACGCGCAGGTCGTACATGTAGGCGGTCTGAAATTTGAATATTCATACTTATTCAATAGGTCACAGACAGGAATATAACAAGAACTACTTGTGTATCCTTTTCTACTTAGCACCATGCGCATGCATTCTGATGAGACCAGCGACAGATTCTGCTCCGGTGCATTCAATCATGATTTTGTTCATCAATCATTGATCTTATTGTATTCGATTTTCATTTCATAAATATCACAAATCTGAAGCAAGAAAGTACGGCCTTGGTATGGAGTCTCTCGTATATTTGCTTGCCGCTGTAAAATATTTTTTGCATCATGTTCATAAGCCCGGCTGGAGCGCCGCATTTTCGTCCAAGTGCCACTGCTATTTCCCAGCACGCATCTCGACCCGGAAATTGGAATTTCTCCTTGTCCTTGTCACAGCAGACGATCCAGCCGTCTGGAAGCCCCGGCACGCAGATAGGCTGTTTTGGAATGTTGCGAGAGCGCCCGCAAATCATGCAGCATCCCGCCTTCTGGAAAATGTAGCAGCTGTATTGTTTAATTGTGAATCACAAGAAATCTTAACGGTAGCGATAGCCACACCGATGAATTGGATCTGGAAATGAAAAAGAAAAGAGCAATAAAAAGCATTTACATTCATCTACTCCAAGTTAGTAGAAGGCAAGGAAGAACAACCCCAACAACAAAAATACCCGTGCGGGACTGGGATCGTCTCATAAGTTTGGTTTATCGGGTTGAACGCCGGTCGACCGGGAAACAGCCGCTTGTGGTAGAAGGTTGCTCCTTCGAACTGCAGATCCAACCGAGACATCTGCTTCTCGATCACCGGACCGAACACCTCGCGCAGGTGCGGTTGCAAAACTTGCATTAGGGTCAGCAGGTCGGCCTTCACGTGAGACGCCGTCCTTTCGAGAAATTCCCGGTAGTCCAGCCATTTGAGCAGACCGTCTGGGTTTGGCACCTGGAGTGCCTTGAGCACGGTGGGCGCCGCGCGGTACGCATCTTTCAAGCGGTTCGCTTCTGCGTCAGGGAAGTCGAGTCCTGCAAGCGTGACCCACTTTTCCTGCGGCCCTCGCATTTGTGCTCGTCCGTTTCGTCCCTCCGCGTCACTACTCGAAGAGGAAGATGATGAATCCGCGAGCATATCGTCGTCCCCTGAGTCCTCGGGAGCTGCGGAAGTTCGGATTTCAAAAGGAATCCATTCGCCGTGCTCCTTCAATTTCCATCGACACTGCTCGACGTACTTTTTGTCTACCTTGAGCGAGGTGAGGGCGTGGATGTGCCAGTTCAACAGTGTCATTGCTCGCTGGGCCTTAACCAAGTCATCGACGACGTGGAGCAGACACAGGCTGGCTGCGGTCTTTCCCTCCGCACTGAAGAAGTACCGCGCGCCGTCGCCCTTCAGCATCAGGTCGTCGATCGCGGTCTCCAGATAGTTGACGGTGGTAAGCGCGTCCTGCGCCAGAAAATCCTTCAGATCATCGACTTCTTCTCCGTCTAATGGACCAGCACCCAACCCCAACGCTCGCACGACCTGTGGGTTCTTGTCCTGGAGTTCTTCTTCAACATCTTGGGCGCCCATGCCGTCCTCCCGGCCTAGCTTTGCTGCAAGGAAACCACGATTGCCGCCCTCTTGGTGCTGGATGTTATCGTCCGCCGCGAGCAGGGCTTGATGTTGATCTTCCGCACAGGACGACGAGCCTGCTGACGAGGTAGCGAAAGATGAGAATGGACCAGGCGCCGGTGGACTTGCTTGTCGAGGTGGAGGAGGAGGCTGCCGCCCTCCGAGGACAAGTTCGCCGAAGCTGCCCTCCGAAAGGTCGAAGCCAGCATTCTTGTTCATCTTTTTAAACGCAGAGAAAGATGATGCGGAAGATGAGCTAGAACTACTCGAGGACGCAGACGAGGAGCAGCTTGAGGAAAATGATAATGCTCCCGTCGTTCCGTCATAGCGCTTCCCACCGGCTCCCTCCTTCGGCAACGACGCCTGTGCGCTGCACGGTGGCACTGGTGGAGCCGACATGCACATGGCAGATGAACCAGACGAAGGAAGTAAGCTGTTTTGGTCCGACTCGTAAAAATCGACTCTGTTTGCGTCGCAGCTGTGGGAACCAACAAACGCGGATGACTGCGACGAGGAACATGAGGCGGCAGAGGACACGAGCAAGGCGTTAGAACACGTAGAGCTGGACGCTGCGCAACCTGTATGCAGCTGCGCCGACGAAGGAAGCAGCGAAGACTGGCCTTGGGCAGCTTTATTTCCGGAGGGGAAAGGATTCATCTTGCTGCTCAGGCTGCAAAAACTACCCATCTGCATGTCCATGTCCGAGATTTCCATGACAATGTCCTCGTCTGTTGTCGTCCCCGCAGCAGGAGCTGCACCGCCATGTTCCGCCGCTCGCGCGGCCTTGCTTTGCTGCGCAACGGTCTTCGGGACCTTCAATGAAGATGCTTTGCCAGCAACCAAAACGCCTGGGTAGAGCAGTGCGTCGTCCTCAACTTCCTCGTCTCCACTGTCGCTGTACTGTTCCAGGACTAGTTGGTCGGTCACCTTTTGTCGCTTGTTCTTGCCCTTGTGCACTGCACCGGCATTTCCATGCTTGTTTCTGTATGGTGTTATTCATTCAAATGAATGTAGACACAAAACAAAAGATGCTCTGAGCATTTATTGACGTTGTTCTGTAACAGAACAACGTCAATAAATGCGAATATGAAATTGTTGATTTAAATTTGCTGATTGTGGCACCTAGCACTGAACTTCATCTTCACCTTCAACTACTTGCAAGATAGTTAGAGGAAAAGCGGTGCATAAAATAACTGGGTGTACGGGATCGGCTGGTTTGGTTCCCAAGCCGGTGGCCGTAGTGCCTGGTTCTTAGCTTTTGGATTCTGTTTCGCTTTTTCCCGAGCCTGCCCTCGGATTGCGCCCGCAGGATCTTTTGCTGCTTTCGATTTTCCAGACTTGCTTTTCTTGGGAGACTTGCGGTCCGCGGGTCGCGATTTGCATTTGGAGCCGGATTTGCTCCGTGCTCTCGTAGCGCTTCTGCCGTTGTCGTTTTTTCCCGCAAAGACACGACCGCCATTCGCGTCGCCGGCCAGTTGCGCCTTGGTACCCTGTAGCTTCCCGGGCGATCGAGACTTTGTTCGTGCACGCGTGAGTGCCTTGTCGGGCTTGCGGTCCTGTTTCAGGAAGCCCAAAGGGTCGTCACGACGGTACTCTACTTGGTCAATTCCGGGTCCCTCCCGCACCGAGATGCGCGGACAGCGTAACTCCTTGATGCTGCAGCGATGCTCCTCTTCGGGCTCATGCGTCCCCTCGACGAGGGACGCTATGCCGGCATACAACGCCATCACCGTTTACTTGCTCTCCACCAGCCGCAGCGACTGCTAGAACGCAGTCTCGCTCGTTTCGGTTGTTGCCTGCTCACCGCAATAAAGCTGTCGCAAAGGTCACCAGGAGCCGGAAGTCGAGCAATAAAAGACTGGGCGAACCGTATCCGAGCGAGATTAGAGCGCCAGTTCTCACAACCCCGCTCCTGTCCTGGACCAACCGGCTTGCACAGAGATTCTCCACACTCACCAGTAGTTGTTGTGAAAAGACTTGACAAAGGTTAAGGTTCTTGTAGTAGGGTACCAAACAAATAAATGTTAAGCAGAGGCGTACATTTTGCTTATGCGTGAAAAGAATCAATTGCAGGAATATCCTTCGAAGGAAATAAGGTTCTTCAGGTCTATCTTTTCAAAAGTGAAACAGGCGGAAAACTATGGGAGTAAACCTTGGTCTTGGATCATTCTTTTCGCATTAGTTCGGTGTCGGTCCCTCCACAATTTCTAATAACAAAAATGAAAAATATTGAATCTGCACAGGAGCAGCGTTATCTTAACACGCAAGGTGGGGTCTATCTGTTGCGTTCAGGGGTCGAAAAAGGATACCTTGTAAGTAGTCAGAGGTACTGTATCCCGAATGCCTATTCCGGGCCTGTGCTCGTTCGCCTACGAGCTCTAATATGACAATGACAGGAGTTGGAAAGGTATTACTTTGGGACAACGATATTTTGAGTGCTAGAACTGGAATGGCCGACAAACAAAGAAAAAAACAAACTACGCCAATGGTTTTCATTTTTCATTTTCACAAAGAAAGAAACCGAAATAAAAACGAAGGTGCTTTTTGATAGCGATCGATAAGTTGCCCTGGCCTTTTTGCATTCGATGTTTTCACGATCACGACAGCTTTGCTTCACTCGCACGAAAAAAACCAGCGATCGACTTTTTGATTTGGGTGATCGCGAGAACATCCGAGTTTGCGACACAGAATACCTTGGTCATAGCGTCTTCTAAAACAAATAAGTAAGAGCGGAAACAATACTTCTACAACGGACGATTTCGATTGCTTTTTACTGCAGCTCTACCGCAGTAGTGGTTTTCCTGGGAACACAAAGTAGAAACACAAACAACACGAAAAAATCTGCGTAGGATCGTTTCGAGCAGCATCGTGCCAGTACAATTTCTTGCATGCTAAAAGTCTGTGGAGCGCAAAAGCAAAAGGTTATTGAAGATACTATGCGAGAAATAAACGACAAAAAGTGCGATTTTTTAAGCGAAAATGCTCCTTGTGACGACAGGGGATTGCCTATCGAGAAGGTAACACTAACAATATCATTTTGCGGACGAGTAGCTGCTACTCCATGAAGACCTCACCAGCAATTCTTCTTACTACTTTGACTTACGAGCATTCTTGTTTGATGCACTGCTTTTTCCGCGCTAGATGCCTCGTGCCTCCAATGAATGTGCACGGGGAAAACTGGCCGAGACACAAGCACCTAGAACCACAGCAGGTTATCATTCATACTTACTTATTTTTCCGTGGGGGCGAGATTAAGATTATGCAAAGCAAGATGAAAAAATTCACAAAAGGGTCGATCTGACTGCGATTTCCAGAGAAACTATTCGAGAAGCACAAGTACGACGAATGGGAACAGCATCACAACGCGTCCCCTGGCTGGCACTCCTAATCTCCGTTTCGGCGTACGTTGTGGAACATTTTCCGATTGTTGCCGTACCCCGAGTACAGGTTGCCGGGGCTGCCTGCCGGTGGAAGGCTCCAGGGATCTGAGTATCCTGTGCAAAAGTATTGCACTCGTAGTAATCGCATTCATGCATTACAAATCTGGTTCCCAAGGCAAATTAGCATGACAAATTCCATTTGTCACGCTGAGCGAATTTGTATTGCAATCACTACTAGTACGATACTTTTGCAGTTCATACCGACTTGCCCTTCACCACGTTGTCCTCCCGAATCACCTCGAGGGCGAACCTGATTTGTGAAAATTATTGACAGACTTTTCTAGACAGCAATTTTTGTGGTGTCATGAGTCATTTCATAATTCTTGTTCAGCAGCACAAGAGTTAGAAGAACTTCTACACGCCGTTGGGCGGTGCTTTTAACGTTTTGTTGAACAAGGAGAGACTTTACACACAGGCACACATGATTATAGATTTCAACGTGCACCCATTGTGCAACAGTCGAACTTCTACACATCACGCAAACAATCTTTCTACCCTCTCTTCCGATCCTGCTCCAGGCGTTTCAGGTCGAGCTTGCGGATGAGTCCATCCGGCCACTGCGAATACTTCGAGGACGGCGACACTTTGACCGACGGGTGGGAGAAAGAGACTTATGAAATGTAAAAGTGTCTGGGTCTGGAAGAGTCATGCTGTTTCTGCATGACACAGAAGGTCTGGCATGGCAGCTCTAGCATCACAGGTTTCGAGAAGCTTCCGCAATGCTGAATCCGCATGACAAATCCCTCATTTTGGCGACAGAAAGTGAGCAGCTTTTGCGTGCTATGCATCAGAGATTTTTGTGTGTTCTGCAATGCGCATCACAAGTTACATCCTTCCAGACCCAGACATTTTTGCACTTGATAAGACTTGCCGATGGAAGATTTTCTGCTTCTGCGCCTTCTTCGCGGCGGGACCCAGGGTGTGCGGGACTTCGATCGAATCCTTCTTCTCTGCGACATGCAAGCACTTGTGCAAGCTGCGCATCTCCGCTGCGTGACTATCCGCGGCCATGGTGTATCTATAGTGCTCTTGTTGTTCTCGTTCTCGTCCCTTTGATGTGCTGATTGTTTTTCTTCTTTCTTGTCTCCTTACAAAGTACTTCCTTTTTTCTCCAACTTCAACGGCTCTGTTTACAACTCAGTCTTCTTCTTCGACCTCTGCTTCCGCGATGTCGAAACCAGTTGGGAGGTGGACTGCTGTTCTTGCTGGGCCGCGTCGGTCTGATGCTGTGTGCGAGCTTTATTCCTCACGTTGTTGAGACGTCCGTGAGAAGCTGCTTTCGCTTGCTTCTTCGTTGCACGACCAGTTGTGGGAGCTTGTCCGTGTGGTTCGCCAGTACTGGAAGTCCACAGGGGAACTGCGGCAAGAACCTCTTCTTCGTCCTCGGTGGTGGCCAAACTGCTCGAACTATTTTCCCGCGCCGCTGCTTCAGCTTCTTCTCGTTCCCGAAAAAGAACAAACGACTCGTACTCTTCCAAGCTGTAGAAGGCTTTATCGCCGACTTTCAGAAAAGGTTGGTGTCGACGGCTGGTGGTTCTTGTTGCTTCTTTTTCCTTCTTCTTCGTAGAAGTTCTGCCTCGCAGTAGTTGCGTAGTCGACGTAGTTATACTAGGGTCTTCAGCAACTGTTCTTGAAAAATCTGCAAACGTGGCCCAGAAATCGTACTTCGGATCGATCCGCTGGACAAAGGTAATCTGCCCGAAAATGAAGCAGAAGACCCGGAGACTCGCGAGGACGTGCAGGACTCGGAAAAAAACCCGGACGGTGTGGCGAGACGAGAAAACCGGTCGCGGAGGGACAAGATCAAGCAATTGGTGGAGGAGGTGCAGAAGAAGTACACGACTTTCCTGTTGAGAAAGAGATGATACGTAAGAGACGAAACTGCTGCTGAGAGTTGACAATCTTCGTGCTAAAAACTGAATAGAGTCTAGTGTTGTGTGCACCAAATAGGAACGATGTTGACGGGCTGCGTCGCGTTCGTTATGGTTGATGTAGTTATCCGGATGTTGAAGAATTATTATATCCTGCGCAGGTTGTTGGTTGTTCAAGTTGTTGTCTCCCGCAACAACATCGGCGAGCGGAACTTCCCGCTGCTCTTCTGCCATGGTGGTGATTCTTTTGAAATATGGCTTTGTAAGACTACTAATGAAACCGATGACGTTCTTCAAACCTTAGTGTTATTAGCCTTACTTACGTACGAAGATAGAGATACATGAATATGTGTGCAACTCAACCGAAATACAATAAATATGTGTGGAAATTCGTTCCCTTGTCCAAACCGATTATGTACATGAAATTTGAGATGATGATAAACAGAAAAACCGATAATTTCTACGTAAAGGTTGTCTCAGAACCGAGGATTTTAGCTTCTGCTTCTTCTTCTACTTACTTATTCTGCCAGTGCCACCCACCTGTGCAGGAGCAAAAAAAACCACGGATGCAGATGCTGTATTGATGGATGAAATTGAAGTTTCAAATTGCCAAAACCATGGATGCCTGCGGACGAGGTGGAATGCTTCATTCATACACACATATTCTTCCGAAGACGTACAGCGACGGCTCGGCCGTTGACGAAAATCACGATGACCGATAGTGTGTAGACGATGAGGCCGTGCAGTTCATAGCCGCGCTGACAGCTACATGACGTAGTGCAACGGCAACTGCACAATACGATGTTAAACTGCGAAACAAGCAAGTTGAAGAGTGCTCCTACGGTAGTTGTTCTCAATTGGAAGACTGCACCACGTAGAGCCGGAATTTCGCTGACTTCTTCTACGCAGCTTACTTATTCGACGAGCCTGCTCAGCAGCGGGCGGAGTTTTTACCACGTCCAAGTATTACGAAAATGCACGACAGCTGCAACGCATATGATCCTTCACGGCTTCATCTGTTTGGAGTTTTGTTCAGTTTATTCAACTTCTTCACTCAGACAATGTCAGCCAACAATCTTTCTGCCCCATTTCGGACGGGCAGGAAAAGCTGCACACCCCTGGAAGGAGGGGGAAAAGGCGCGGAAAGCACTGCACCACCCGCGACAGCTGCACCAACTACACCGCCATGGCAGCCGCTTCCACCTCCGATCATTGCTGACGCACTGGACAAAACCTGCACCCAATCGCCCCCGTTGTTGGAAGCAACTTCGTCCTCATCAAGTGGCACCACTTCGACAACATCCCCGTACTGCGGATGATCTTCGTCCCCAATGGTGGAAAACCAGAGCGGGCGCGTGCGCCACAGAAGCCCATCCTTGGCGATGATTTTCATCTTTTTGGTGCGGCGTCCGGGTCCGGCGGTGGCTAGACTTGATGCGCTTGTCCTTGCAGATTTTGGCGTGACAAGCTCACTTTCCTCATTGAATACTTCCTCTCCACTTTCCAGTCGGTTTCCTCCTGCTCGAGCTGCAGTAGATGTAGTACTTGTACTAGTACCTGATGACAGACAATACGGGATCACGCCGTGGTAAACCGCGTATCCCAAAACCAAGCCGTTGACCAAGTGCAACCACGTGCGAACACTTACCCGCACTGAATACTTCAAGTTCTCGTACGCCAGTCCAGCAACCCCCGCCACTTGCGCCCCGAGGAGCTTGGTGCGCACAGACTCGGAAACGTTTAGTGGGTTCAGCGCTGCAAAGCGGGCGGCCTGGAATAGCGGGAACCAAACGACCCAGGGGTTTAGTCGGGTGGTGAAGTTGGTTTTGATGATATTTTTAGCTGGTATTGATGTAGAATTACTGCCGCTACTAGTTGTATCGTTCTTTCCAACTAGCTCCCCGTTCTCGTCGAACGCAAGGCAGTGCCGCAGGAAAGACTTGTAGAAAGCATCGGGTCGTTGTGTGACAAAGCCAGAGTTCTTTTCAACAGCGTGAGACGACGAGGTGGACCCGGCGTGGCCTGCTCCAGCAACATGCGTTGAAGGTGAACTTGTTGTATCGAGTCGTTCCCGAAACAGCAACGGCAACAGGGTGCGCTCCATGAACCCTGGACTCAATTCGTCCACTAGCCTCTGAGCCTGCTTCTCAACCTCGATGTACAGCTCGCGCTCGGTGCGGCGGCGCACACAACCGTCGATGACCCAGTTGAGGGTCGGACGCAGAGCGTCGACATCGCGGAGGAGGTTGAGTAAGAGCAGCATGTCAATGTCGGACCGGATTTTGAAGAGGTCGGCGATTGCGGCGAAATCCTGAACAAGAGGTTTTGGGTTAAGTAGTATTTTACAGCGGTGTAGAAAACAGATGATGTCGATCTAGATTTCGTTCCGAATCGGCCCCACCTCCTGCTCCAGTTGTACACATGCAAGTCTAAATTTCAGATAGTAGGCTTCGAGCATCCAGAGGACGGAAAACGCAAAGCACAACAAAGAAGTGCAAGTTGTAGTACATTTTTCCGTATCGCGGCAACCACAGAAGCAAAATCCTCATAGGAAATCTTGCCAGAAGCACCCACATCTCCAGCCCCGCCTTGCTGTTGCTCCTCCTTCCCGTCAGAAATCCCATTACCGTCGTTCCGCGCCGCACTGTGTCGCAGCATTTGTTCCCGCCGGACACAGTGTCTTGTGTACAACTCATCCGTCTTCAAACCCTGCTTCCGCACGTACGACACCCCTTTCGCAAAAACCTGCACTAACGCTAGTAACCCCGCAAACTGCACCCAGCGGAGGGACGCCTTTGGCCTGTTCGCGCTTTTCACATACGATTTCAGCTCCGCTGTCGCTTTTCCGTATTCACCCTGCTGAGCCTTTCGCTGCGCAAACTCCCAACTGTTTCGCAGTTGCCTCTGCAACACTGAAAACTCCAAAGACTTCGCATCCTTCACTCTCGCGAACAGTGTCGCACCGCCGGCAAACCAGACGAAATCGCGCAGCATCGCCTTCCCGCCGTCGATGGAGAAGTCTAGAATCCCGGCTGGCGTGTGCAGATCCGAAACCAAAGAGGTCGGAGTAGTAGCGGAAAGGAGGACGTACCCCGACAAGCCTGCGGCGGCCGCGAGGAGATAGCGATGGAGGGAATTTGTTGATGTTGACGCGCCAGAAGCTGCGTCATGATAATTTGAGTCCTGCTCCGATCTGCCGTTTGATTGCGAGTGCGGCACTGAGGAAGATGGAAAAGAAGTAGAGAAAGACCTTCGTAAAAGGATTGCAGGTCTATCTTCTGACGAGCCTCGTGCTTGCTGTCTGTGGACTCCAGTTAGTACTCGCCCGACATGCAATTTTCGCGCAGCCTGCTGCTGGAGATACGTTACTTTCTGATCCGCACAATGCAATAATTCCGCGATCCTCGGTGTTGTTCCCAGCCGCCGGGAGCGGCAAGAACCCGCGGTGCTACTACTGGACGTCCCCGTCGCCAGATCGGTCAGGCGCTTGATTGAAACCATCGTACTATCGAGACCGGCCCGCGCGTTGCGTCGAGAGCCCGGTAGCAGGCGAAGTCGTCCCGGGGGCAGCAGGGAAGTCATTTTTCTCCTGTATAAATATGTCTTTTTACGAATCTGCAAAGTAGATTTACCTGCACTGCTAGCGCTACGAGAAAGATCAGAGTATCAAAAATAAAGCTTCTCAAGGTGTGACGCGCAAAATACTTGTCAGAAATAGGTCGTCCTGTTACTGTAGGATCCCGCTCCTGTTCTTCCAGGACACATGATTATAGATTATAAGTCGACAGAAAAACAAATGCTCTGCTACTCAGTGCGCAATGGATAGCAAAAAACTGGAGGAAGAAGATGCAGTGCAGGCGGTACCGTCAGACACATCACGATCAAAACACAAAACAGTAAACATGGATGATCGTGTGTGTTGGGGTGGGGGTGTTCTAGGTGCTTTTGAAACAAGCTCATACATAAAGCTTGTTCAAAAGTAATCCTTTATCCTTCATTGTTCGGACCTCTGTAGTGTGCTGATCGTGTGCCACGGTGTTCAAAAAACTGCAGTTACTCTTTGTTCTTGAACAGGAGGCCACGATCCGATAATGCTGGAAAATAGCGTGCGCCACGAAATTTTTCCGCTTGTTGTGGCTCTTGCATGCATTGCGCACTTAATACCGCGCGTTTCCTCATCCACGTGATGCTAGGCATGTTCTACTTGTTCATCCCTGAAAAAAACTGGTGTTAGTCTTGAAAAAGTGTCACTCGATTTCTTCGCAATTGGCGCAACATTCCTTCATACGGACTGCAGTTCGGATCTTCACTGTAGTAATCTATCCAGCACGAGAATTTTTCCAATTTCTCATGCATACCACGCACGGGCCCGAAGCTCACCAGCGTGTCCCAAAGCTCTTGCAAAGATTTGGGCCAGGAACTTTTCGCCGCTTGTCCTCTCGCTTCTCCTTCGAAAACCTACGAGTGTTCTGCACGAGTCGAAATGATTGATAGACGCGCTCGCAGAATGGATCCAGCGAAAAAACATAAACAAAACGTAGAAATTGAAATACACTGCAAACCCAAATAAGCATGTAACATAAGCAAGTAGCCACTTCAGTTCGACAAGATGACTACGCAGCGGGCTCTGCAAAGGGAAATCGAAATCCTTGAAAGTGCTATCAGTTCTTCTTACCTGCTCCTGACCACCCCCGGATGAACTACCCTTGACGTCCAACTGCTGCAAAAATTCCGGCACGAGGCGCACGTGCCGCGACGGAAAGTGCACTGCAAATTCCTTCCACGGTAAAAAGTCCGCGAACGGAAACCGCAAGGCGTCCGACAACACCACCGGAATACACCCACTAAAGAAAGATTCAAAAACCCGTCCGTTCGTGTAGCCGACGCCCTTCGGCACGAGGCAGAACTTGCAGTTCCCCATGGTTTCGTAGTACTTCACGACGGGCGTCAGGTGCCCGCCCAGGCTCGTTTTGTAGGAAAAACTGTTTTCCCCAAACTTGTCCTGCTCCAGCGCCCACTGCTGAATCTGGGCACGGATCTTGCTCGCGGGGAGCATATGGCGTTCTCAACTGTTACATTCTCAGCTGTTACATGGATTTGTGATGCAAGAGCAGCAATATGGAAAGGGGCAGGCTTGCGAGTCTCGCATCACAAATCTGCAACAGATTTAGAAAGATGCTGTTTAGCTCTCTGATGATTTGTCATGCGAAGCACCTTAATCTTCTGGCGACTTATTGGGATTTTGCATGACAAATCATGTAACAGCTGAGAATGTAACAGTTGCGAGCGCCATAGAGCACGTTTGACGTTTCGAAGTCAAACGGCGGCTTCGTCACCGTTTCCTCGTACAGGGAATGTTGCAACGCGCCCCGGAAGCAGAAGAGAAACTCTCTTTCCGCATACGGCTTCCGATACAGCCGAAACTTCCGCATCGCGAAGAAATCGATGTGCTGGGGCAGGACCACGTCTTTCCGCTCGTCGAAGCAGTCCAGACAGTGCTGCGTGGCGTTTATCCACAGAAAAAACCCATCAACGTCCACTTTTTGCATGACAAACACAGGACTTGATACATGTTTTGCACGACAAATTGGATGTGGATGGGTGTTTTCTCCTGGATAGCGTTGGTGTCGATCATGTCCAGCGGGTTGGATTCGACGACGAGCAAGATCGCTTTGTCCACCCGCAACTCCGGATGCGCGACGAGCTCCCTAGCCCCCCAGAATTCGTGCGCGAAGAGGAAGATGTGGTCTTTTTTGCGGAAGCTGTCGAAGTACTGCAACGTGGGGAACAGCTCTCGGTACGCTTCCCGCATCACCTCCGTACTGTCCTGCAACGGTGGGTCAAACGCCTCGCGCTGGTACCCATTGTGGTAGAAGGGGACGAAAAAGAAGTCGGCGAGATCGGGGTCGGTGGTACGGCAGAAGGACTGCTCGAGCCACCGGTGCAGCAGAACCTCGATGCCTTCCTGTCCGAAGGACGTCGAGAGCCGGAGGTTCGTGTATTTTTGGACGGTCGGGTTGTCGTACACATAGACGGTTTTTTTCATCTTGCTGATTCTATTTCCATCTTCGGAAGTTGTAGTACTTCTAGAACCCTGATTTGTTGCGCCGGCACATGAATTCGCTGTGGTCTTATTTCGATTTTTCATTTTCCCCCACGACTGCAGCTGTTCTCCTGATTGGCCTTCTTCTGTGCCGTCCTCCCGCAAGCGTTCTCCATACACCAAGGGCACCAGCGGCTGCACCCACTGCAACACATTCAGGTTCCCCTCCGCCAGTGCGACGAGGATACGATAGGCGTTCAGGGTTTCGGTCGCACCGAGCTGCTTCTCGACCAGTGGCAGCGAGTTCACCTATCCTGTGCAAAAGTATCGCACAGTACTCGTATTGCAATCAATCTTTTTCTTAAGGTAAATTCGCATTACAAATTTTATTTCTCATGTGTGTAAATGCATTTATACGAATACGATACTTTTGCAGTTCATATCACCAAAATCGTCGCAATCAGGAACTGGTACCAGGATTTTGAAAACTTCGGAAAATCAGCGGCAGTAGAGGAGGTCGATATTCCAGGAGCAGGCTTGATACCGCCGCCTTCGTGGTCTGCTAGTTCTTGTGCCCGCGCGACGTGCTGGTCAGAGCTAGAAGAAACAGTAGCTGCGGAAGAGTCTGTGGCTGCGCCTCCACTCCCAACATGACCACTGAAGTAGTCCGGTGGTGCGGATAAAATGCACAGTCCGTCCTGAACCAATCGGGAGTAGAGTTCGAAGCAAAACTTTCGGTGGTCGGTCGGTAGGACCGTGGAATCCAGAAAACCCGCGTAGTATTCCACGTGCTCCCATTCCTCTGGATGCAATACCTTTTCGTACAGGCAGGCGAGAGCAAACTCATTTCCGCACAGAAAAAAGTAAAAACATGCTAGTACCGCGGTGCGAAAAAAAAGAGCGCAGAGGGCCCCCGCGTTGCAGGGGTCGTGACTGGACCTGGAATGGTACGTGACGGAACGTCTTCTGTTCTTGAGTTTACCCCACGCGGACGGAGGCAAAAAATGTGGGAAGAAAGACCGCAGACGAAATCTTCGCTTTCGTCCTCGTGTTCTTGTTTTGCGGCGCCATCTGCAGCTTCCGGACCATCTGGCTCCTGGACGATGTTCTTTAGGTCCACCATGTATGTTAATGTTGATCGTCCATGCTGCAGCATCACCTCGTGGTTCTTGTGCACTTCGTGCCGGGGCCGCATCTTCACGGCCGCGAGACACTGCTTTATTGCCCTCCGTTCCTCCACGGCACATCGCATGGTGCTTCTGAGAGGATTCGAACAGAACGGCTCAGCCTCACACCTTTCTTGTACTTCTGGTTCTATACCAACCTGGCTCGGCCTAAACTAAACCAGAATCAACGATGTTGAATCTCCTCACGACGGACCAACCTCCGCGATCATGTGTTTAAAAGTCGTCGAACCCTCCAATGGGTTGCCGTTTCCTGGCGTACTGGCTGTCGCGACCGAAGAAGCCAATGCAGGCCAACACGACACTGACCAGCAAGGCAAGTAACACGTAGTAGGCAAACATGATTTTTTTTTTGCTTCGTGTTCGGATTTCGAAGGTGGTGTTGATGTACGCTTTTATTACAGTCGAGCGAGTGCGATGGTGCAGAAGTTCGACGATTATGCACAATCAAGGCATGGCATACGTTTGAGAACCAGCAGATTACAGCACACTTTCAACACCTTGTCGTGGCCAGAAAACATCCTATTTCGAAAAGCAGGTGCAGGGCAGCCGTAGCGTGAATGCATGGACGGCTGCTCCACCCGAGTCAGTGCCTGCGTTTGCTGAAAAGGATGTGGAACACGTTATGGTTCTCTCACACGACTACGAGAGCTTCGAAAGCTTCCACGACTTCATCACCCGCATCTTTCCATTTGATGATAGTCTGAGCACTTCACTGAGATACTAACGTTCACATCGCAACGACAACGTCATCTTGACCAGTACGCAAGCCCGACAGGCCGATAGTTTCAGTCTCATCGTATGTCTACTTCCACAAGCAAGAGGACTGATGATCGAAAGACTGACCTTCAACGTCGGAACTGACATGCGCAAGCACTGTCGGGTCGTGTTCGTATCGATATTGAACGTGATTAGTACGACAGCATAGTACTTCGTCGAGGTCGATACGCAGAGATGAATAAGAGGTTAATAGATACTGTACTGCATTCATACATGCGAAACTTGATGGAGGTGGGAGTGGAAAAATTTACGGGGGAAGATCATCGTCGTCAGTATCTTCATCTTGCTAGCATAGAAAAAATCACATACGACGGGGGCAACGAGAAATCTAATATCACAATTGTATCGCGTTCAGACACTGTTAAAGTTGTCTTGTGACGCGTTTCCTTTACTGGTGACACGCCTGCTGGATTTCTGCCACGTGCCGTCGTTGGCGGTTTCCAGGTTGCCGCTCACCTGCGTTTTCAGGCGCGCGAAGCTCTGGCGCATCTTCGAGCCCCGCAGGTGGTTGTGCGCCGTGGCGGTCGGGTTGGCCGTTGATGATGCTGATGTGCCAGAGAAATCAAGAGGACCAGAAAAAGCTCCTGCTGGTGCCGCATCCCCTGAAGAGGACATCACCGCGACGTCTTTGATTACAACGGTTTTATTGTTACTTCGGGTCTTTTTGGGGTACTGAATGAACGCCGGCTGGTCCTCGTTGTGAAACATGCTTTTTCGCGGTTTATTTGTTCCAAAAATCATATTACCCCCCGACGCCGATTGGATGGAGGTCACCGACGAACCTGCCCCAGGTGGAACAGCTGGTGCACCTCCAAACTGCACGACTGGGGACAGGTGCACAAAGGTGGAGCCCCGTCCAGAAGTGCTGGGGCTTCGATTGACGTTGATTGCACTGGTGCTCCCAACTAGTACACCTGCGCCACCTTGATGCGGATCCCCCTGGTGATGTTGTTCTACCGCTTTCACCCGCGCGTGCTCCATCTCGACCTGCTTCCGTGCGAGCATCATCATGGTCCGCAACTTCCGGGCCTTTTCCGTGACCGCGAGGCTATGGGAGTGCGCGGTGTCCAGGTCGGGCAGGCACTTGGCCTTCTCCAGCGACTTCGCCTCCTCGTAGTTCGCCCGGGAGATCTTCACGATGCAGACTTCGTGCGAAGAAATCCACGCGGAATACGCCGGAGTGATCCTCTGGTACCCCTCCGCGCCGGTGTCCCCCCGCGGGACCAGCGCCTCGATGTTCAGGACCGCGTTCGAGCCCAGGTCCTGCTGGAACTGCGACAAAGGCAACGCCGAGCCGTGCGAAAACACGTGGTGGTGCGCGATGCGCACGACCCCGGTGAGCACGATAATCATGTCGTCGCAGGGTTTGCCGGCCTGCAGCAAAAAGTCCTCCTGTTCCGGCAACGCCGAGTGGCTGTTCTTCTTCACGCGCACCTCGACCTGCGCGCCCGTCGCCAGCAGCCAGCGCAGCGCCTTGCCGCCGATCCACCCCTCCCCGACCTGCCGCATGTGCCCGGTCTGAAACCGCCACGGCAGGCGGCTTTTTAGCATGCTGGTCCAGGACGCGCGAGAAGAACTATGGATGTGTCAGGTTTGAAATCGTCAGAGTTGAATAAATAGTTTGTCATGCATAAAATGGATGCCAGTTGGAGCCCAGTTTTCAATTGGCGCATGACAAATTTTGGCGATGCCTAAATCCAGTTTGTGATGCTGTTTGGGTAAGGAAGACGCCTTTTGTCATGCTACTTTAGCAGCTCTATTTCTATCCCTCAACAGGCTTGCAATCTGCCTCCCTTGCCTACTCTGCAAGACAGGCACTTTGTGGGTTGCATTTTATGCATCACAAATTATTTCAACTTTGACGATTTCAATCCTGACGCTTCCATAAGAACCTGCTGCGTCGTGGTCGGACAGCAGTTCTTCCCGGCCAACTGAACCTTCCATCCGAGTCTTATGAACTGCAAAAGTATCGCACTCGTATAAATGCATTACAAATTTCCTCAGCGTGAAAAATAAAATTTGTAATGCTGATTTACCTTAGGGAAAAGATTTTTTGTGATGCATGATTACAATACGAGTACGACACAACTTTTGCACAGGATAAGTCTTACTCACGGCCAGTTCGTGGAACAGTTCCGGCCCGGGGTAGTTCTCCCGCAGGTGCGCACACAAGACCGCAATCTCGAAGGGCGTCAACGGACTCTCGGCCAGCGCCTTGTTGAAGACGCGCATGCTCATGGGGTCCACGTTGTAGAAGTGTTGGCCACCGCGGAGCTTCGAGGCCGGCTCGTGGACCATCTTCGTGAGTTCCAGCAGCTGCTCACGCTCTTCCAGTAGTTCATCCCCTTGCGACGCTTGACTCTTCATCGCAATGCCGCTGCCGCTAGCACTGCTGACCGTGGAATTATGGTGTCGCCCGGTCATTTCCGACATTGTCTGCAGCTCGATCTGTGAGGCGTTCTTTCGTTTATTGTTGGCAGATTTGGTATTCCTCTTGGATCCCGAGTTAATTATATCGTCTGCTGATGTGCTGTTGTTTTCCTTGTTATCTACGCTTGTTCCAGCAGCAGCTCCAGTAGTCGCAGCAGCACCAACGGTTGTTCCCCCTTCCTCGTCGCTGCTCGAGGTTTCCATGCTGAGCGCGCCGTGCAGCAGCGTTTTCGCGACGTCCTCCTTGGCTTCGAGCACCTCTAGGGGCAAAGCCGCAGACTCGTCGTCGAACTCCTGGCCGAGAATCTCCTCGAAGATGTCCTCTTTGGAGAAGACGCCGATATGGCGTTCTCAAATGTTACATTCTCAACTTGTCATGCAAGAATGGGAAAAGTGAAAGGGGGGAGGTTGCACCTGTAGCATTACAAGTTCCGGACCGATTTAAGTGGTGTCTAGCCCTTCGCAAATTTGTCATGCGAAGCAGCTTGAACTTGATCGTGTGAATGATGATAGTGTTTTTGCATGACAAATTCATGTAACAGTTGAGAAGGTAACCGATTTGAGAACCCCATAGCCGAGTAACTTTCGCGTGTCCTCCTCCACGACCAGCGCGAGGTGCGCAATGGTGTATGACAGTGCACAACTGCCCCTCCCCTTCATTTGTCATGCAAAATACCCAGCCCATCCTTTGTCCCTTGGCACTGAATGCATGACAAGTTCTGGTAGCCCAAATAGCAGTGCAATCCAGTAGACATTATTTGTCATGCAAAACCGGCACTGTTGCTGATGCTTGTATTGCCGTTCATGCTATACAAATGAGGGAAAGGGGGAGTTGTGCAATGTCATATGGTGCCCTTTTTGAACACATTGATGGCGAACCCGCAACTGTGCTGCGGGTAGAAAGTCACGTACGTCCGGGCAAACATCTGGAGGAAATCCTTCACGGGCATGGCGTCATCCGGGTCCACAAGCATCAAATCTCGTGTGAGGAGAATCGCGACAATGCTGTGTTCGTCCTCCAGGGAGTAGATGGGCACCCGGGAAAAGCCAGACTTCCAGATCAAAGCCACGGTGTCGTAATCTAGAATGGTGTTAAACGGCAGCTTGAACACGTCTGGAAACGGCGTCATCACGTCGGTTACCTTTTTGTCCTTAAAGGAAAGCGCGCCTTGCAACACCTGTTCCTCCAGACTGGACAAGTGCGCCGCCTGCGCCTGCACCTTGAGCAAGTACATGAGTTCCTTGCGGCTGTAGCTGGTGCCCAGCTCCTCGCCCAGCACGTAGTCCAGCGCCTTCGCGATCGGAAAGGCCAGGGGGAACAGCAAAAACCCGAAGACGTACACGACCCAGATTGTGTGCGCGCCGACGAGGAGCGCGTAGCGGGAGCAGGCAGACTGGGGCACGATCTCGCCGAAGATGACGATAACCCCCGAACTGACGATGAAGCCCATGACCCCGCCGGCCATGTCGCCCATAAAGATCGCGAGCGCGGCATTTACCATCACGTTCCCGAGGAGAAGCGTGCAGAGCAGCAAATTCCCGTGTTTCCGCACCGGGTAGATGCGTCGCGCGTACTTCTTCTGCTCCTCGTCGTCGCCGTTGATGACGATCTCCAAGCCCGCGAGGTCGAGGCCGAGCAACCCCAGAGTTAGCCCGGAGAACAGCCCGGATAGACAGATGAGGATCACCACCATGACGTAGTCGAGGAAGCTGCTGCCCTCCGAGGCTTTGAACCCGCAGTAGCCTTCCACATTCGCGCCGCAGCTGCAGTCCGCATCCGCCGTGCACACCAGTTGGCCCCGCAACGACGTGTAATTGGCGAAGATCGCCGTGTAGTCCGTCAATGGACTGCTGTCCGCCATGATGGGCTATTATTTGTAGTCGGAAGATTGGATCAAGTACTCGAAGCTCGTCGTGGTGGCGGTGCTGGGGGGAAGATGACTAGTTTGTGTTTTGCTCTTGGTCGTGAGGAAACTACACCTGCATATCAGGCATTGAGAGGGAATAACAAACTGAAGCCTTCTAATCTACCTCAACGAATCAATATCTCGCTGTAACATCATTCTTCACGGGTGTGGGTGGTCAAATAAACAGGGATTCATCGGAGAAAATACTTATGCAATAGTCAGGTGTGACTCCAGAGCTTGCAAGCCATACTCGAAGCCTGTTTCATCAAAGTGGAAATCAGATTTTCACTAATTGTAGCATTCGACGTCTACGCAGCAGAAGATTGTAAGTAGAGCACACAGCACGGCGTGTTTGCGAAAGAACGATATCGGAGGGACGTACGGAAAAGTGATATTTTGAACGATGTTAGGAAAATTACGGACGACACAAATATCAACCGAGGGAGAAGATGTTTCAAGCAGAGCCGATTTTCCACTTACGCTGTGTCAACCGAGCTATTTTTTTTTTTTCGTGCAACAAGGAGCTTCTTAGTGTTGAAAGTCCAACAACCGAAACGGATTTGAACGATTAGCGCGAGATGGAGAGTTCAAAACGAAATAGTTTTACGTCGATGAAACCTCAACCTGTCCTGTCACAACCGAGATTGCAATGATGCTACAGCACCGAGACTGGTGAGGACATCCAGGACGATATGTTGCACCGCGCGTGCCGCGCGTGCACTCGCATCCGCAAAATCATCCTGATTGATCAGAAGCGTGACAATCAAGCCATGTAGTTGCGCGTAAGAATGGTGAAGTTCTATTATTTGCTTCGACAACAACTTCAACTATCAAGTGTACATTTCCTTCCCGATGCTACTTTACCTCGGGTGCTACTAACTTACTTACTCGTTCTTCACAACCTTTGCCTTTTGCTCGGATGAAGGGCATGATCAAGCTCCTCCTCCTTCCGCCCCATCTCGTCCGCCGCATGAAGAAGATCCTCTTCACTAGAAATTTGCAGCGACGTGTCAAAAAGCGACACCATGACGTTTTTCAATTTTCGGCTGTGGGCGGAGGAAAAGGCCCCGCTGCTTTCTACCGACCGGTCCACTGCGCCCTCCAACAGGGACTGCTTGCTTTATCCTGAGTTAAAACGTCCCCACCCCATAGTCAAGTTGAGAATCTAGCAACACAAGTCTCCAAGTTTTGGGAGCTGTGCATGACAAGTTTCCCTCTGTAGTGTAGTGCTGGTTGGCAAGGGCAGCCGCATGAGAAAGCCATTTTCTCATCGTGTTTGCAGCATTACAAATTCCAAAACACGATTTGAAATGCCTCTCATGGAGCTGCGCATTACAACTGTTCCTGTCATTGCACATTTGCATGACAACTCTGGGGTGGGGATGTTTTTACTGAGGATATGCTTTCCTGCATCTTCTGAATCCGTTCCTCGATCGAGTTTTCGACGATGATTCTATAGACGTCGAGCTGCTTGTGGCGGAAGCCAATCCGGTGGACCCGGTCGACCGCCTGTTCCTCTAAAGCCGAATTCCACCTATGCGTTGCAAGTATGTGTGCTGGGTCTGGAATACAACTTGTGGTGCTGCCAGCCTTTGAATTCTACAAAAATCTGTATGGGCTGAGCAGGAGGAGGCAGTTCTCATGCGGTATAGGCAGCCCCCACATAATCTCCGATGAGAATGAGATGCAGATGCTAGGACTAGGGCATGTATCGCAGACATCTCATGATCATGGATCATGCAAATAATGCAAATGCGCATCATGAGAAGTCTTGCAATCTTTGAGGCCCAGACATGCTTGCAGTTGATACCACCAGGGCTCCAGCAAAATCACCGCCCGTGCCCGCGTCAGCGTGATCCCCACTCCGGCGCAAGCGAGCGAGCAATATCCTCTGCAAGAGTATCGCACTCGTACGAATCGCAGTCATGCATGACAGATTCTTCTCTTTACCTCATCATCATCTAGCATGGGAAATTGTTTATATGTTTTTTTGATCTTGAGACGATTTGTAGTAATGCTTACTTGCTAGTACGATACGTTTGCAACGCATAAGCAAAGCAGCACGTCGATTTTCCCTTCTTGGAAATCCGTCAACAGCTGCCTCCGATCGCTCGGCTTCGTCGCACCTGTGAAAAGCTCCGCGCGCAGAGCCAAGGAGATGCTGCTGTTACTAGTACCGCAGGCTGAAGATGACACTGGTTGCGTTTTCTTGGTTCCCAGCCTTTCCTTCGCAAGTCTCAATGTCTGCACGAAAGAGGAAAACACGACGACGCTGCCGGGCTTCGCGTCGTGCGTCGAGGCGGTGTCCAGGCGGATTTCGTGAACCAAAGAAGCAAATTTGGCCAACTTTGCGGATTCCGGAAGAAGTTGCTGTTGTTCCTGGGTATTGTTTTTGCTTGAACAAGCCCCAGTTGCAGCAGCACTTGAAGGCGCAGGGAAATGTCCTGGTCCCGCCGTAGAATTTCCACCATTATGTTCTAATTCTTCTCCAACACGATCTCGTAGATCTTCCCTACTACAGTTGTTCTTGATCGCTTTCAGTTCCTCATCTTTCGGGCGGTGCACCAAATCCTTCAGCCTCACCGTCGCCCGGCAGATGGGACAGGGCGCGCCGCCACCGCCAAAGTCCGCCGCGTGGCTTTGCTGTTCCCCATGATGGTGCTTCTCCTGCAGCTCCCTACTGGCCTGAACGGCCTGCGCGAGGCAGTCGTAGTGGAACACATGGCCGCACTTCGTCACGCACACCGTGCTGTCGTCTAGCGGACAGAGGCATACGCTGCAGTCCGTCCCTATGGCGTTCTCAAACGTTACATTCTCAACCGTTACATGATTTGTCATGCAAAATCCCAATCAGAATCGACACGAACACGATCAAGCTGCTTCGCATGACAAATTCCCGAAGGGCCAAACAGGCTGAAAATCTGCGCCAGGTCTGTCATGCAAAAGGCGCAATCTTCCCCCTTTTCAGTTTTGCCATTCTTGCGTCACAAATTCGCGTAACAGTTGAGAATGTAGCAGTTGAGAACGCCATAGTCCCATCGGCTTCCTCGAAGAGCTGGAGCGGGTTCTTCTGCTCGGAGCCGTACTGAATACTGGACTCGGTCAAAAGTTTCTTAACCAGCGTCGCGTCGTCGAGGAGCAACGCCTCCACCCATTTTTCCGGCAGCAAGCTCGCGTGCTGCAGCAGCTGGCGCAGTCGCGTGATGAAGCTCAAAACGCTGATCGACGAATTTAGTTGTTGGGGATCATTCGTAGAAGTCGTGTTGCCTTTATTTCTTAAAGTAGACAACTCGCCAGCACCAACAGACCTTGATGATGCTTGCTCTTGTTGTCCGGCAGCTCGTCTGCTCGTACTTGAGGCTGAGGTCGCACCAGATGATGAAGTCGCTCCTCCTGCTGCGACCACAGTCGTAGTACTCGCTGCGGCGATGGCGGACTTCAGCACCGTTCGGGCGGCCGTCGCGGCGTTTGCCTGCAATTGGACGCCCCCCGAATTCAGTAGCTGTTCGCTGCAGAGCTGGAACAATTTGTCGTACATAGCGCGGTGTTCCTTTCCCAGCTTTACCGTGATATGCATTGCAAATATGTCTGGGTCCTCTGGAAGGCTGCAACTTGTGATGCTGCCTTTGGATTCTAAAAGAATTTGTCTTGCATGATCAGGAAGACGAGCCCAACTTTTGCTACGCGGAGAGGGCATTTCTCATGCGGGATAGGCATCAACAAGGCCTCAGAAAATCTGTGATGCTAGAGCATACATCACAGACATCATGGATATATGGAAAATGTGCATGACAAACTTGGGCTCTACTTCCAGACCCAGACATTTTTGCAGTTGATACTTGACGACATGATACCTTTTTCTCGGCAACTCCAGAAGACACCGCGTGTTCATTGCCGGCTGCACAGTTGTACTACCTATCAAATGTAAAAATGTCTGGGTCTGGAAGAGTGCGCGATTTGTCATGCTCCTTTTCCATGACTCATGAGGTCTGAAATGCAGGACCTAGCATGACAGATTCTGTGCGATCTCTCTCATGCCTATCCTGCATGAGAAACTCCCTCCCGACTTGGTCAAAACTGGACGACTTTTGGCAATCATGCAACACAGATTTTTGCATGCTTCAGATTTAGCATGACAAGTTACATTCTTCCAGACCCAGACATTTTTGCATTTGATACTACCAGTAGCCGTTCTACTTGTTGCACCGGTCGTGCTATTGCGCTTATTTCTAGTACTGCGCTGCTGCCCCGGGGCAGCTGGTGCAGCTGCGCTTCCAGTTTGAAGACCGATTTGATGTGTAGATGAAGGTGCTGCTGAAGTAGAATCGCTGGCATGATTCCGAATCGGCACCCGCGTGTTTTTCAGCCGGCGCAGCAGGTAGACGCGCAAGATCAGGTTCAAAACCTCCAGCCCCTTCCCCTCGCCCATCTTCACCGGGCGGTCGATCAGTCTATGGAACCACGCGGGGTCGACGAAGGGCTCCAGTTATGCACTGCAAAAGTGTCGTACTCGTATTGCAATCATGCATTTTTTTTATTTTTTGTTAAGTCAAATCCGCATTACAAATTTTCTCTCATGCTGAGGGAGTTTGTAACGCATTTATACGAGTACGATACTTTTGCAATGCATACCAGTTCCAGGAAAGCGAGGAGCGGCTGCACGTCGAGCAGTTTGTTCACCACGGGAGTGCCGGTGACCAGCCACTTGATTTCCGCCTGGACAAGTTTCGGGTTCGACAGAACTTTGCACAAATGAGTATTCGCGTTTCGCATCACATGAGCCTCGTCCAGGATGATGCGCTTCCAGCACAGTATTTGATGTCCTGGTGCTGATGTTGCAGCTGCAGGGCCACTTGCACTCGGTGTGGATGATGAGGGTCCTCGTGAAGACGAAGACGACGATGATACCAGAAGATTTGCGAACGTCTGGTAGGTGGACAATAGAATCGCGTGCTTGTGCTTCGTAGGCGGCTGTAATATGTTCGCTTGATCCACCGAGGTTGATCCCACGACCCGATGGTGTACGACGAAATGGCTCAGGACGGACGGTTGCCTGCTTCTATTCGCTCCGAAATTATTCGTCGCGCTGCAGCTCGCAATCGCAGCCGCGAACGTTTGCGCTGCGTCCTTTCCGTGGCACAAATGCAGAGTGACGTCCGGTAAGGCCCGGCTAATCGCGTCTTCCCAGGCGGGCAGGACTGACAACGGGCAGAGAATCACCGTCGCATCGATTTTTACATTCGAAGGAGAAGGGGTAGAGGTAGATGCGTTGCTGATAGTCGCGCCACTGCTCGTTCCAGCTGTACTAGTAGCTCCAGTTCTTGTCGTCCCACTGCTGCTTGTTCCGTCTGGAACTGCATCCGAGTAGTTTTCCTTCGTGTGGCCAAACTTCAAATCGTGGGCGATGCAGGCGAGGAGGGAAATGGTCTTCCCCAGGCCCATTTCGTCGGACAAAAAGCCCCCGCGCGGGATCTTCGGAATGGTCGTGAAACGCGCCAGTGTTGCGGTTATGGAAGCGTCAGAATCGAAATCAACAAAATCGAAAGAATTCGTCATGCATGAAACCGATACCAGTTGGAGCCTCAGTTTCCAAATGCCGCATTAACAATCTCGGGAGCACCATCAAAATCCAGTCTGTCATTCTGTTTCTTTGGGCAAAGAAGACTGCTCCTGTCATGCTACTCTGGCAGCACATCGTCTTCCCTTCAACAGGCTTGCAATAGGTCTCATTTGCCTGCTCCCCTACACAGGCCTTGCGTGCGCTGCACTTTATGCATTACAAATTTCTCGACTTTGTCGATTTCGATCCTGACACTCCCATAGCGGTGTTTTGGAATTTCCCGTCCTTGCTGATGGTCCACAAGGGTATCTCCCCCTTCCGGATCCGGTCGAACTGTTCCATCTTAGGAAACTGCTTCTCGCGCTGCACCAACCAGTGCAGCGCTTTCTCCTGGTGTTCAAGCAGGTGAAACCCACCTTGAAGAAAACTAGTATCATCTGGGTCCTTAATCAGCGGCATGTCCTCGTAGCGCATGGAGGAGAGGCATCCACAGAAAAAAAAACAAAATCCTCATCCATTTTTTGCATGACAAACGCAAGACTTGTATACGTGTGCTCTGCATGACAAATTGGATGCTCTGGATGGGTGTTTTTTCCTGGATAAGAGGTAGAGCTTTTCCAGCGCAGAGTGGAAATCCTTCCCGATGTCCACGTTGCCGATCTTCGCCCCGTCGGCCCCGACCGCGCCATGCTTGCGGTTTTTCAGGAACCCGGGGACGTCTTTCTCCTCCGGAAACTCCTGCTTCCACCGGTCTCGCGAGAGCTGCTCGACCGGAATTCCCTGTTGCACCCGCAAAACCTTCACGTTGGCATACTCGCAGCGCGTCTTCGCAATCTGAGACAGAAGAAGCTCGACCTGTTTCTTGACCGCCTCGCGGCGACCTTTCACCAGCTGGTAGCGCTGCTGCTTTCGCCGGTACAACTGCTCGGCGGGGGAGGTCGTATTAAATGAAGTTGCTGTGCTAGAAGTACGAGTAGAATGATTTTTTGCTGACGCAGGTCCGTTGGGGTTCCACCGCTGGACAGAGAAATTACCCGGGGGTTGCGAAAGAAACTGGGACGTTGCGTTGAACCCTCCCATTGGCGGAAAAGTGCCAGTCGCCCCAAAAGAGCCACCTCCACCCGTGGTCGCACTCCCAAAATAACCTGTTGCGCTGTTCCCGCCAAATTGCGACGTCATAGATCTTGAGCCGCCTCGGGGAACAATGCCATTAGCTGCAGAGGTGCTCGTAGCTGCTGCCCACGAAGACGCCGCACCGCCGCCACCGAAGCGGCTGCCCGCAAACTGGGACCGCTTGGGCATGTTGCATTTGGCCAGCAAAGACGTGCTGGATGAAGAACTACCTCCGGGTCCAGTAGATGCAGCGGATCCAATAGAAGAACCAGCGTTCATGATCCGGCTGCCCCCAAGACCAGCATTCGTTGACAAGCCACCTGCGGAAATCTTCGTGGCAGCTGAAAACTCCTCCTGCGCCACGATCGCACTACTTGCAGGAGGAACTTGTCCGCCGTTCGGGTTCTTTGAGACAGGCAAGGAGGATGTTGAGATATTATGATCGTCCGCAGGCGGCGGGACCGGGGGACTTGGAGGTTCTTGCAAGTACATGCCGTACACCTGAATTACCAGGGGGATTTTGTACGTCTGTCCTGCGCCGCTTGGAACCTCCCCCTCCGCACGTACGATCGGAAGGTGAAGGTGGAGCTCCGTTTCCGAGTCGTCTTGCTCACCTGCAAACACGCGCGGAGATCCCTGCAACTGCATGTTGGCACCAGTAACATGATTATAGTTAGCACGAAATCCATATCCAGAAGACGGGTCCTCGACGTTGAAAGCTAGTGCAGCTCCACCCTCATCTGCGTTGCTCGGGGTCGCCAATGCGACCAAATCCGCGAAAAGCGGTGCAATTTCCTTGGCCATCCAGCCAATCTGCTGCCCGCGGTCGTTACACACCTTGCACTTGCGACCCTCAATGCGCAGTTCCACCCGCTGCCGGTTGTCCACGGTGCCTTCGTTGTGCGCCACGCCAACAATGTGCGTGGTATCCCAGGAAAAAAGTGTTTACATTTGAGTACACTTTGTGTTGCAGGACCAGCAAGACAGACAACCTGTGTCATGCACGAAATGCCTGCGAGCATCCTTCCAGAGTCAGAGGATGTGTGTTTACTTAAAATCTTTCATATTGCACGTTTTCTCCATCAACATCCAGAGCAAGTTTGTGTCGCTGAAGCTGCATTAGGTGTGTAACTGTATTATGCTTTTTTCTTGGGTTACGTGGTGATCTGCGCGTACCAACGCTCGTTGGGCTCGTCTATCTCTATGGGAGGTTGTTCTAGGAGCCGGCCCGGGATATCGACGAGACGCTGCGATTCATTTGTGGTCGGATCGCGGTCGCGCTGCTGTTGGTGTTGCTGCTCTCCTCCCGTTTTCATATAATTCGCAGTTCCTGTAAAAGCGCCACTGGCAGTCGCCTTGGCGGCCGAACTGCAGCTCGAGGTGGTGGTCGCACTACGTTGGCCCGCATTTTTCGTGGCCGGCTGAACCTGAAACCAGGAATCAAATGAGAATGCGCCGGACCCTGCTGCAGATTTTGATATGTTGGAAGACGAGGAGCTAATAGTTGTAGCAGCAGCGGTTTTCTTCGTGTTTTCCATAGGTGGTGGCGGTCCACGGCCGGTTGCAGAAACAGAATCCTCCGCCGGGGCTGGTGCAGAAGTGCTAGCCACCACAGTTTTGATAGTTCCACCACTGCTACCTGTACCTACAACTGCCTGCTGTCGTGCAGCTGGTGGCTCCCCAATTAAAGAATTGGAAAGAGCGGTCGCACGCGAAGACCTCCGCAGCTGCGCATTGACCTCCACCCCACCGCTGGTGACCAGCGAGTTCTTCCCTGATGACGCCGGCGCCTGCCCGAAGGATGTGTTCAGCGCGGAAATCACGTTCGCAGCGGACAACGCCGCGGAGGAACGTCGGGTAGGCGGAGCAGGGCGGTTTTTTTCGCCTTCCTCGTCGGAAGAGGAGGACAACTCAATCACCTCGTTCGTACTGGTGTTCATACTTTTTTAGTTGGAGGCGAAAGATTCATTTAAATTTGAAGCGGGATTTTCGCTGTTTCCGGGGAAACTAGTCAGAGAAACACGAAGCAGGGATCATTCGAAGAACTCTATTGAGAACCCGCTCGGAAGGACACAGAGTTGCCGTACACTGGAAAAAAGCATGATCGTTCGGCACTAATAAAACGAGCTTGTTTGGCTTTGCTTGGATCTAATAGACGGTCCAGATCTTCGTCCTGGGTGTCGCGTTCACTGGAAATTAAACGAAACCGCATGCCCTTCCTCTACTACTAGTTCCAATCTAGTATATCCAAAATGACATACACGATAGCGATACAGGAGTGACGAACAGCAGTAAGTAGACTCAGTTATCCATGAGTAAGTAGCAGCGCATCTTTGACATGATTTGCTAGCTTGTCCACGCCTTAGTCCTGTGATCATCCACACGAGATCATCTTCCTGCGAGATCTTTATACGGATAGAACGACAGCAAAAACAGCAGCAAGCACAACTTCATCGTCGAAGCCAACGCAACAAGGAATTATAAATATGATCAAAATCGTGCTGCTCCTGCTTCGCTCCTTGTACGCATGTTCTACTTCGCAGTGGTCTTTCTGCGGCTGGAAGGAACAATTTCGACGCGGCCCGCGCGCTCTCACTAGGGAGGGTCATACATGATGATGATATATTAGATCACGGGATGACGACGATTACTTTTTATGTCCGCAGAAGCTACTACAGAAGCGACCTTCTTCTTCTTCACCACATCCTCGTCATTCTGTAGCGTTAGCACGCATACATGATCTGCTCATTCTCACCGACCATCTCTAACAAATTCCCAAATTTCCGACACATCTCTTCCACAGCGGTTACCAGCCAAACCTCCCGAAAGCCCTGTTGCACGAGCAGATCCGCGACACCGGCGCCCGCCGCGTCGGTGTCATGCGCAACGAGCACGAGGGGAAGCTCCCAATCATTCGCGGTGTGGTGCCACTGCCGGGATCGCAAGTCGATGAGCCAGTTGGGGAACTGGCCCCGGTAAAGCGCGGCGTCCGAGAGGACAAAGGAACCACGGATTCTGGTCGTGGTTGGGCTTGGGGGTTTCTTCAGTCCTGCTGGTGGAGATGAAGTGCTGGAAGTTGTCGTTTTCTTGCTCCTTTGATGGTCAAAACTGTTGTAATGATCTGCTGCCTGCTCCGGTGGTGAAATAGATGACGCGCGGCAATCCAGGAAAAACACCTCCTGTTGGAAGAAGAAATGCGGATGCGCAGGCTCCTGTATTGGATGTGTCTGTCTCTGTGCCTGTGGCCCCTGTTGCTGTCCGAATACTAAATGACCCGGCGGACACAAAACATCGCCGTTGATTTGTCCTTCTCCGTGACTCCCTTCGCCACCCGGATGATGTCGCCTCTCTTCCACGCGGGCGGTGGCTTCAAGTTCATTTTTAGCTGCTTCTTGCTTCGTACCTTTCGTCCCAAACAGAATCCGTTTCAATTGTCCCGAAATGGCAGCTGCACCGGTGTACCTGTGCGCAAGCTTGTTGACAAGAGGATTTTTGTTTTTCGTTTTCGACGTTTCTGAGGAAGATTGACCACGGCGCGGCGAGTTTTCTTCTTTCGCAGTCGTACCGCTCGTTGGAGATGATGCTCCGCGCAGCGAATTCTGAAAGTGGTGGATCGGAAGGCCCCAATCCTGCTTCTGTGGTTGCTTTTTTTCCTGTTCCTTTTCGGAGGATGATTTTATTTTCGTGCTTTTCTTGCCAGTTATGCCAGCTGCACAATGATCAATATCCGCATCAAATTTTGGCTGCGAATGCGAGGAGACCTCCGCTTCTTGGTGCATCTTCACGTGATCGTCAGCAGCATGATTCACTCGTCCTACAAGTTTCCTGTGCACTTCCGCCTGCAGCCGTGCGATTCTTGCCGCCAACATCTCCTTCCTGGATGTAGTAGTGGCTGTGGAGGGATTTTTACTCGAAATGGCCGCCCTGCTGTTCATGTTCGACGGCGATGCCATCGCAACCATGATCTCCCTAAGACCACCTCCGTGCACTCCCTCTAACAGACAGAGCTGCAGACTCAGCAATTGCCCCGCGGTGTCCGCCTTCATGCGCGAAAACAACTCGCTCTTTTATCAAGTGCAAAAGTATATATCGCATTCGCTTTCGCACTCGTCTCGTAGTAATTGCAGCCATGCATTACAAATGTTTTTCTTGTTCTTAAGCCAAATCCGCATTACAAATTTTTTCTCATGCTGTAATGCATTTATACGAGTACGATACAACTTTTGCACAGCATATCTTTCGCGCGGCGAGGACACGATTGGATGGGGACGGCGAGGTCGGCGATGTACGTCTACCACTAGAACCTCCAGGGCTCAGAGCTGTACCATGACCGGCAGGATAATCATGATGTGGAGATTTAAATCTCGCAGACGGAGATGTGCAGGAAATTGAGGCTGACCCAGAGACCAGCAAAGGCAAGAAATAGCCCCCGTCCGTCTCGACAACATCCTTCCCGCCTTCTCCGGCAGCGGCCCGCCGCTTGCTGAAGGCCGTCGGAGAGCGAGTCGTCCGGGTGGCGCCCGCACCGCTAGCTATCCTGTGCAAAACTATCGTACTGTGATCCTGATCGCAGTTGTGCATTACAAATCTACTTGTCAAGGTAAGTCAGCATATACAAATTTAATCTGTAATGCTAGAGCCAATTTGTATTGCGATTTATACTACTAGTACGATACTTCTTTTGCAATGCATACCAGCGGGCTGGAACCAGTTCGCCGGGTCGTGTAGCCGCTCGAGCACCCGCGACGGAACCGCTTCGTAGTCCGGATTCTTTTCCCCCGGCAACGGCTTCACCGGCATGTCTAGGCCGTCTGGCGGTCGGAGCTTGTGCCGCGCGGGCATCGGGAGCGGCACATTCTGCCACGCGGGTCTGTCCCTGATATCGTTGTTTGTTCTTATATTCCGCCTGGAGGACGGCGACGGAGAACCGGATTTATGTCCTGTTCGTGGGCTGGGGCTGCTCGAGGTCATTCTTGAGTAAAGCGAACAGGTCCGCGTGGACACACTTCGTCAGCGAATGGTTCTACTTGCGGTTTCTTGTAGTTTCCGAAAAAAATGTGCACTGTGTCCTTGTGTTGGTGGTTCACCACAATGTAGCTTCCACTCTAGGTGTTCTTGTTTATCGCAGTGTATGAAGATGATGTTTTCCTCCCGGAACAAAAACCATGACCGAGTTGTCAACTTCTGCAACGAACTACGAGGTCGACGTGGTTCTGCCCAGGAGCGTACCAGCCTGCATAAAAGAAGTACGAAGGAAGCGCCCAAGAATCCGACCCGAGACAAAAAACGAGACGCGACAGGAGCCCTGATCCCTTCTCATGAATGTTGACGAAGCAGCAGAGTTTGAGGACAGACGCCGAATGATCCCGAAGATTAAGAAGAAGTAGAAGCAGCTTTCTTATTCTCATTGAAGACAGTTTCATCGTTGTCCAGAGCAAGAGCTGTTGCTGTTGTCCTTCTGAGCTTATCAACTTCAACTCCTCCTTCCATATGCTTTTGTCCTCTTCGACGGACGGACACAGCAGGAACGCCCTCGTCGCCGCACGGCTTGGTCAGGACCTTTTCTTCATGCCCTCGCTCTCCTCGCTGTTCATCTTCTGTAGCATGATCGTCTCCATCCTTTTATGTTCTTCCCTACATAAACTCTCGCATGGCGTTCCGCACCGGGGCCACGAGCAGGTCCCACAACGCGCACATGTAGCTCTTCCCAAGGTACTGTCCGGTCTTCGGGTCCATCTGGTCCATACGAAACGCCGTTTTCTCCCCATTCCACTGCAAGACGAAGGTTTGGCTGTCCAGATTATCCATATGCAAATGTGTGTGGGACTGGAAAGACCATGCAAGGACAAGGTAGTTGTGCTGCTAATCAACAAGGAGCACACATCTAAACTTGATGCATGAGCACCGATTACTGTTGCCCGCTTTTACTTGTGACGGAAAAAGTAAAGGCGAATTTCTCAACATGCGGCAAAGAAATTGGAAAGCTAAAGCATTCGCAAAACTAAAAATTGCATGTAAAAATGCTCTTGTCCGCAGTCCAGCTCCAGACCTTCTATGTTGTCCTTGTCGTCCAGAAGTTGCATGGCAACCAGTTCTACATTGCATGCTTCCCGACCCAGACATATTCGCATTTGGTACAGATCTGGTGGAAACAGGATGACCGATATGGCGTTCTCAAGTGTTACATTCTCAACTGTTACATGATTTGTCATGCACAACGAACCTCAACGTCCACAATAAAATGAAGCTACTTCGCATCACAAATTTTGGAAGGGCTAAACAGGATAAGAATCTGTGCCGAATTTGTAATGCAAGAGTTGCAAGATCCGGCCTTTCCCTGTTGCCATTCTTGCATCACGAATTCATGTAACAGGTGAGAATGTAACGATTGAGAATCCCATAACCGGTTGGTAGACGTTATCGTCACTCAAAACGCCGTGTTCAATGTACTTCGCCATCGCGTGGATCGGCTTCAAGCTGGGCAGTGTGCAGCTGACAGAATTGTCCGGGTACATATCAACGCGCAAATTGAAATGTGTTGGCCCGGAAAAAGATAAACTTGTCATGCTTGTCAGGCACCACATCTGGAAAATCCGCATTCCATAGTACCGGACAAAGGCAAAGTTGTATGGCGGCCTCTTTCGTCATACAAAAACGCAATTTGTCATGTACACTACGTGATGCAGCAATAGAGCACAGCTCGAAAAATTCGTCATGCTTGGCTGCCCTTCAGTAAAGTGATACTCACTTCCGTCAGTCATATTAGACACTTACGCATCACAGCTTTGACGTTTCCTTTTCTAGACTCAGACACATCATTTCCAAAAATGCGTAGTACAACCACAACTGCGACTGGATGTTGATCAACGCCTTGGAATTTCCCAGAAACTCGCTATCCAGAAACGCGTACACGCGGACGCTACCCGGCGGTGTGTTGTCCGCCACGACCGGCGCGAAAGAATACAAAGAACCTGTTTTACGGTGGTCCGCTGTGAGTCTTGTTGCGTCCTCTCCTGTCAGCCACACAGACTCCGGGAGGGAGAAGTAGCTCTCCGTGTTGACATCTTCAGGGGACGATGATGATGATGATGATGACGAACCAAGTTCAACATCTAGAACAAGTGCTGCTTCACTTGCAGCTTCTACCGCTGTTGGCCGCTGCTGATCTTCTTCTTTGTCCCCAGCAACGGAACTGGGGGTAGACGGGCCGGAGCTACTGGAGGTCCTGGACATCGTATCCGCACTATCTTCCGGTTCCGAAGGAGCTTTTTTCTCGGTGCTTGTATTTTTCTCGAAAACCCTGCACAAAACTCCCTCCGGCGCCGGAAACTGTGCGTTCCATTTCAGCACGGTCTCGCGCGGAATCATCTTCTCCGCTTATACAATGCAAAAGTGTCGTACTAGTATAAATTGCATTACAAATTCCCCCAGCATTACAAATTGAATTTGTGATGCTGATTTACTTTGAGAAAGAGATTTGTTATCCATAAATGCAATTACTACGAGTACGATACTTTTGCACAGGATACCGCTAACACAGACACCATCGGCTCGATCTCGCTCGCGCGAAACAGGTCCGCCGCAGTCAGGTCACCGTCGAGCAGGGCTGGTTGCTCTTTCATGATCTGCTCAGCTGGAGAAGAAATTCGCGTCGTAGTACTACTAGAAGTACCATCTCCATCAGGAGGTGTTTCGGCGAACGCTGTTGACGTAGGAGTACTCGAAGATGACGCACCATGGAAAGCGCGTCGCAGCCGCTCGTCGGTGGCATAAAGATGATCTTGCTCGACGTCTTCCAAACCTCGTTCTTCTTGTGCCTCGCCGTTATTTGTCACCAACATCTTCTGTGCGGTATCAAAATTCGTAATATTCCTCTTCGCCAATCGAACGAGGTCTGCTGCAACGTCTTCTTCGAACCCAAACGACTCCACGAGATCCTCTTCCCGCTGCGCAAGGACCCACCCTCTCCGCCACCCGAGGTCGTAGCATGCGGAGAAGATATGAGAGTGCACAACTCCACCCCCTCCCCCTCATTTCTAATGCAAAATTCGAAATCCACCCTACTTTGCCGTTTGGCACTGCTTGCATGACAGGTTCCCGACGCCGAAGCAGTACCAGCCTCGTCGGTCGTGAAGTTGTCATGCAAAAGCTGCATCTGTGCCAGCACTTGTGTTGCTGTGGATGCCATTCAAATGAGGGGGAGGGGGAGTTCGAGTTGTTGTTGACTCCCATAGAAGACGCCACTGTCCCAGAGTTCTTGCAAGACTTTCCGCACTATCAAATGTAAAAATGTCTGGGTCTGGAAGAATGCAACTTGTGATGCTGCATTTGGATTCCAGAAAAATCTGTATTGCATGAGTACCAAAAGGAATGTAATTTTTGCTACGCGGAGACGGCATCTGTCATGCGGAATAGGCATCAAGAAGCTCTCAAAAAATCTGTGATGCTAGAGCATGCATCACAGACATCAGGGCTCATGCAAAACGTGCATGACAAGTGTCAGAATCTTCCAGACCCAGACATTTTTACATTTGATACGCACCCCCGGCTCCAGCACGTCGTCGAACACAATCCAGGTAGGGGCCAGCTGCAGTGCGCGCTTGGCATCCAACCGCACGTAGTTTTCCTCGTGGTTTCCGTCGATCAGAATCAAGCCGAAGTTCTGCTGCTCCGCGGTGAACAGCGCGCCCCACTCCGTCACAAGCGAATCCACGTGGAGGGTCAGGATACTAGGCGAAGATGGAGGTGGTGTTGGTCTACTACTAGAACTTCTTGTGCTGGTTTCATTTTCTTTTTCAGCAATCTTTATTGCATCATCTTCTGGATAAAGAACAGATGCTTTCTTGCTTCCCCCACTTTCTTCGCCGTGCAGGACGAGCATTTTCGCGGAAAAATCCTTCGCAGCGCGCAGGTGCTCCGCGTCGATGTCGAGAAGAACGAGTGCTGGTGGAGGCTGATTTACTTTCACTGCGTAATGACTATCAACATCATGATCCTGTAGAAGTAATTCATCATCGTCCACTCTACTAGTATATCAAATGTAAAAATGTCTGGGTCTGGAAGATTGCGAGATTTGTCATGCTGATCTGGCACGGCCCTTAAATCTGTGTTGCGTGGCCACAAACAGCCTCTCTCGCCTGTCATGCAAAAACGCAGTTTCTCGTGCGGAATACGCAGCACAGAAGCACGAAGCAACTTGTCATGCTTGGGGGCGCATTACAGTGCATTTTTTATTGACTGACTTGCATCACAAGTTTCCAGACCCAGACATTTTTACATTTGATATAGTACCCAGCATTCTCCTTCCGAGCGCCTGCGCCAACACGGCGGACGTGTGCCCTTTGTGGCAGCCGAGTTCCAGGACGTGCCTGTTCCCACGCGGGAAAAACTTGGACTGCAGAAACCAAAACAGCTCGTGCTTGAACCTGCGCGAGGTGGTTTATCAAATGCAAATGCGTCTGGGTCATCTGGGAAGTTGCGACGAGATTTGTCATGCTAGTCTGGCATCACAACTCTGAACTCTGTGTTGCGTCACCGCAAAGAGCTCCTCTTGCCTGGCATGCAAAAACGCAGTTTATTCTCATGCGGAGTACGCAACTCAGAACCACGGAAAAACTTGTCATGCTTGACAGCGCATTACAGTGTGCTGACTATTCCACTCCTTGCATCACAAGTTTCCAGACCCAGACAGATTTGCACTTCACATGGTTGGGTGGTGAGCGATTTTGTCCGGCAGGAGTACGTCGATAATCTCCTTCAAACGTTGAGACGAGGTGGAGGGCAGCGCTTCAGGGCGTTGGGCTTGGGCTTCGGATTGCTCTCGCTCTCCTCGTCCTTCGTATAGTTCTTCTGGGGCGCTGTTTTGGAGGACGTTTGTAGATGAAGTCTTCGATCTTTCCGGGAAGACCAGGGGGGCGGGACTTCTTGTTAAACTCGGGGCTCCTGCTCCGCACAACTCGACGACCGGCTGCAGGAGTGAGAGGATGGGTAGGAACCTCAAGAACATGGCAACTCTTGCTGTGACAAAAAAAGGACTCGTCATCTTCGCAGAAGAGGAGCTCTGGCCGCGAACCATACCGAATCGAAGACGGTTTGTTTTCAGTTGGCTAGGTGCGGCGCGTGGTCATGCATCTACTTCTTTTCGTCGGAACTTTCCTCACATCTTTGTCCGCCATGTCCAAATGCTGGCTTCAGTCTGGCACCGAGACCATGATGCGGCCGAGACTTTTTCTCCTCGAGTTCTTGTTATGAATATGATCCCGCTGCTAATAAATTTCTTATACTTGAACAGAAAAGACCATGAAGATCGCGGGAGTTCTTGTAGTTCTGATTGAGTTCTAAGGAACATCGAAGATCCTGAGAAATCAACCCGGCTAAAGGGCGGGGTCCGTTCGCACGGCACTAAAGGAAGAGCGGAATCATCCTCGCAAGACGAAATATGCAGCAGTGGTGCGGATCGTTCTCGATAAAAGTTGCACTTGCACACCCTTCTGCCCAATTTTGTTGTACGAGGAGGAAATCCTTCTCCTTGTTGCAGTTTTTCTGATACCTAAAAAAAACACCATCAACTAATATCTCCATCGATGTTCTTAGTGAAGATCGCAGCGCTCCGCGGAGTTGCAGCCAGAAGTCTATGTTGATGTTCAACATCCGGATCCGCGGGCACGAGGAGTATCTGAGTACTAGTTTAAGTACTTACTTACTATCGTGCCTAGTGGTCCGACTAATACTATTCTCTCTCCACCTCATCCCCCGGTGGAGGGAAGTCGTTCCCGATCCCGGGCAGCCAGCTGGATGCATACCCGATTTTGCCGAAGAGTCTGTGGCAGCCCGACATGACGACCTTGCCCGATGTGCCCGGCTCAACTGGAACAACAATCACGACAAATAGATTTACATCTAACCAGATGATGGAAAGCCGAAATTTGTGTTGCATCAAGGGCTTGTTTGCTCCCGCTTCGCATCGCAAATTTTGTGGGCATAATCTCAAAACGGTTTGGAGGTGTGTCAGAGATTTGTCATGCTACACTCGTCTCTGATAGCTAACCACACCAGATCATCCACATTTTGCACATACAAATTGTTCCACTTGCCGCGATCATTGTTCGATCTGAGCAGGCCATACCCGAGTCCCACATTTCCAGGTCGGACTTCACACTTTTCTCGAGTTTCTATCAAAGTGCCGCAGCACATCAAGTCGCCCACTTGTTTCGATTTTCATTCCTCAACTTCTCATGCTAAATTGCAGCAACTCTGCCTGTTGTCCCCTTTTAGTGCAATTTCTTGTTGCGTGAGGACTTCTACTACGACCGACAGTCGAGGAATGTTCTTGAAGCTGAAATTGTTAATATGCAAAAGCTCCCAGTTAGTCTGCTTTTGTTTCTGTTGCTTTTATCTCTTTTTCGTGCCTAGCTATTTACGTACTGTGGGGGACTCCTTGAACTTCTTGTGCACTTTCATAGCTGTTCGTAGTCGGTGTCCGCATATGGGACCAGGCCGAGGCAGGGCCGGTAAGCCCAGTGCCGGACCTCGCGGCCCCCGATCTTGATCCCGAGCGCCGCACCCAGCCCGCGCCAGATCAGCTGTATGAAGTTGCCCCCGCCCTTGGGCTCCTCGGGCAAGACGGGGCCTTTTTCCGCCGCGAGCAGGACGTCCGGGTCGCGTATGGATGTGTCAGGATCGAAATCGACAAAGTCGAAAAATTTGTGATGCATAAAATGTAGGGCACTGCAAGCCTGTATTAGGGAGCAGGCAAATGAGGCCGATTGTAAGCCTGTTTAGGGGTATCTATACAATGTGCTGCCAGAGTAGCATGAGAGGAGCAGTCTTCTTCGCCCAACCAGCGCGACAGACTGGATTTGGGCGCTCCCGAAATTTGTCATGCGCCACTTGGAAACTGAGGCTGCTCCAACTGAGGTCGATTTTGCGCATCACAAGTTTTTCGATTTTGGCAATTTCGGTTCTAACACTTCCATATCGCGCAGAAACTTCGTCGTCTTTTCTTCGTCCCCTAGGTCGCCGTCGGCTCCGTACACCCAGCCGACACGTTCCAGGACCGGGCGCATGGCCGCCGCAGGCTTCCAGCCCGGCGTGCCGAAGGTGGCGGCGATACTGCCGGCGGCGCGGAAGTCCGGCCCCATCTTCCCCAGCTCTGCCAGCGCTCCTAACAGCTCGGCCAGAAACAGAACCTCGTCGTCCCACATGTTGAATATGACCATGGCCTGCAGACAGAGCAACGCCGCACTCTCGGCGTCTTCCTTGCTGGGCGGCCCGCCCTGGTCGCAGACCTCGCGCGCTTTTTTCGCCTGCAGCCCCCAGCCGCAGGCACACAGCTTGGGTTTCAGCTCTGCTTTCGCGAAGTCCGGCTGCGCGAAACACTTTTCGCCCCACCGCAGAAACACCCCGCGGGCGCCCTCGAACCCGCCCGCCAGGTGGTAATACCCCGAGCCGCGCTGCTCCGACGGCGAGTCCAGTTTCCGCTCGGCGCAGGGCGGAAGGTCCTCCTCCTCCGCCACCTTGGCGTCCGCGAGCTGCTTGTTTTCCCCTGAATGCACGTGGCACATTTGCCCTGTTCCCTGTTGCTGCGCCAAGAAGCTAGCGTACAGGATGGTTTTCCCACTTTCCTCGGTTTGGTCTTCCCCGGGCTCGTCGACGATGTGCAGAAACTTCGTGCTCGAAATATCAAAATGAAAAACCCCCCTCCCCGTATCAAAACGGAAATCTGTGATCGATGCGGGATTTCAATACACAAATCAAATTTGTCTTGCACTAGAGCACTGCACGCAGATCGCAAGCCTAGGCAGGGGCCTCTTGCTGTAGGCGCCTAGCATGGCAGAGGCAGACGTCTGCCCTGTAGGCCTTGTAGCATTACAAATCGCCTACATAACGCGGCGGACAGCCTAAATTTGCCTTCTTGCAAGACAGAGCGGCTTTGTCGTCACAAATCTGCATCACAAATTTTCAGGAGGGTGCGTTTTCAATATGTGGAGGGGGGATTTTTCTTTGGAATACGAGACCTCCTGGTTCCCGCACGCGATCTTGGCATCCTGCAATGGGTATGGATTGCAAAAGTGTCTGGGTCTGGAAGATTGCAACTTGTCATGCTAAATCCGAATAATGCAAAAATCTGTGCTGCATGAGTGCCAAAAGCTGTACACTTTTGACCAAGTTGGGAGGGAGTTTCTCATGCAGGATAGGCATGGCAGAGACCTCACAAACTCTGTCATGCTAGGTTCCGCATTCCAGACCTCAGGGGTCATGGAAAACCTGCATGACAAGTTTCCACTCTTCCAGACCCAGACATATTTGCATTTGATAATGGGTGCAGCGCGATCAGGCCTTCGACAGCGGCGGGCAAAGTTTCCGCCTTGTCCAAGAAGGCGCAAACGTCCTCCTCGGTCGTGCTGTCGGTGGAAGACGATGTAGACGTCGAGGAAGAAGATGATGTGCTACTCGTTGTCGTTGTGGTACTACTTTTTTTCTCCTCTTCTGCTGACGCTTTGTCGTCTTTCTCTTTGTCCTCTTTATCTTTGTTTTGATCACTCTCGTCTTGGTCTTCCTGGACGAGTTGCACAGCCGCGGAAGTTGTTGTACTAGATTTTTCGTTTTTTTCTTTCTCTTCGTTTTCTTTGCTGTCACTTGATGTTGTTTCATCTTCTACAACCTTCTTATCGCTTTCCTTGCTGTTTTTATTCTCCTTGCTACTAGCACCTCCGTCTTGCGTGAACTCCACGCTCCATCTTTGGCACAGATTTTTCATGTGTTTCCGCTCGTGGCTGTCGTCGCTCAGCTGCGTTCGCGGCACCTCGAAGGTAAACTGCGCGCTCGCGCCGCCGAACGAAAAGATGTGGTTGTTTTTTTCCGCGCGGGTTTCCAGCTTCGCCTCCTCCCACCCGTGCAGGACCCGCATGTGCTGCGAGTCCCGGATCACAAACGCATACCCGTCCTTCTCCCCCTTTTTGTTCAGCTTCATCACGCTTTTCTCGTAATTCGCGAAAATTTCGTTTGGGTTTTCGTGCCGAAGCCGGCCCCCCGCGGTCGCGTATCCCACCGCGTGAATGGGGATCACGCCAGTAGAAACCGCGTCCGCTTTGTACTTGTCGCTGTTTTCCACCACGAAGCCCTCCGCTAGACGCAGCACCAGGCTCTCTGCTAGCGCGTCGCACTGCGCGGGCTCGTCCGCATTCTTGCAGGGTTGCAGGATGTCGCGGGACGTGTGCACGCACCCCTCTCCGGTCAGCACGCGGTCCTCTTCCCCACAACGAAGGAGCGCTTTGTGTGGAGGCGCCCTCAAGCGTTAGTACGCTGATCGCTGATCATGTTGCGTGGTTTCTACTATGTCGATCTACCACAACGACCACACAGAACCGGCGTCACCGATTCTGTATGATCATTGAGCAAGCTACTGACAAGCTTCCAAAGACAATAAAGGGCTCAACAGCATTGACATCCACCGTGTCGAACCTGTCATGCTGGCAACTTTTGCTTTCGCGTTTGCGGCCAAGAATCTTGCATCACAATAAACCAAGTCCAACTAGAAATAATCATGCAAGAGCGATCAATGTACTTAAGCTTAACTACGTTTGACAACGCCATACCTTGGACCGCGTACCGGAGCTACCGACGTCGTGGGCAATGAAGAGCATCAGGTTCGGACAGCCGTCCTTCAGATCGATCGTGCAGGTGGCAGCCTGGGTTGCTTCCACGCCAAGGCTTGTCGTGGTACTGGTGGTGGTCGTGGACATGCGCATCGCGCGCGCCAGCGCTTCCGGGCCGGTTTGCAGCACCAGAGGCTGCTCGGCGTGGTCGATCCCGGCAATGCTGTCAGAATTGCACACCTCCGCCAGTGGCTGCCACCGGCCCGCTTGGCAGCGGAGCACGGACCCTTCCACTACCTCGAATGCCGTTTGGATCGTGGCAACAGAAGAAACCGCCGGGGACGACGAGGCTGCATCGATTTCCACCACGCCACCTGCATCGACCGAGGTCGAAGTACTAGCTGGAGCCATACTGCCGCCCAGCGGGACAGTGCGGTACACCCGCCGCCTACCCGAGACCCGGCCGTTCGCGCACCGCCAATTGTCGCACACCGTGCCCTATGAACTGCAAAAGTATCGCACTCGTAGTAATCGTAGTCATGCATTACAAATTTCTTTCTCAAGTCAAATCCGCATTACATTTCTCATGCTGAGAAAATTTGTCATGCGATTTATACTAGTACGATAGTTTTGCAAAGCATATACCCGGTTCGATGGCGCCGTAGCAGTAGTCGCCGTACTTCTTGGCCGGATCGTTGGGCGACGCGACCTATCAATTGAAATTATGTCTTGGAGGTCTGGAAGATTCTGAGACTTGTCAGGCGCGTTTTGCATGAGTTATGATGTCTGTGATGCTTGCATGCCCTAGCATCACAGATTTTCCAAGGGCTTCTTCGTGCCTATTCCGCATGACAAACACAAATGCGCTCTCCGCGTAGCAAAAATAGATTCCTTTGGCTGCTCATGCAATACAGATTTTTGTGACATCCAAATGCAGCAACACAAGTTGCATTCTTCCAGACCCAGACATATTTGCATTGGATACGACCACGCGCACGTCGACCATCTTCTGCCGTTTCCACTCCTTGACTTGCGCCGTGTCCACCTCGCAGGGACATTCGCGGCAGGTCCCCGCGTGGGTCAGACAAAACCCGTCGTTGCAGCCGTACGATATGCATTTTTGCAAAAGTATAAGTATCGTACTAGAAGGAGTCTGAGTCGCATTTTTCATTTTCTTCAACACGTACACGACAAATAGACGATTCTGTCATGCTGAATTACCTATGGAAGCGTACAGATTGGTCGTGCACGTCTGGCATTTATTTAAATTTTATACGAAAATACAGTAGTTTTGCAACGCATATGCGAATAGCCCCGGCAAAAGGTGCCGTCCACGCATTTCTCCCCGGCGGTGTAGTCAGGTTGTGCTAGCATCGTCGCCTCCTCGTCCGCATCAGGCTGGTTGCCATCGAGAACTTGTTCCACCGGATAGCGGAGGAGATCCTCTCCTGCTCCTATCTGACGTTCATCATTTTCTCGCGAAGCAGGCGGTGGAACACGACGCGATGCAACTGCTTCCGAACTTGTTGTGACACGACCTTCCTCCTGGCTGCCTTCTGGTGGAGATGTCGTGCTGGAAGACCTCCTTGCGTTCACCCCTGACTTAGACTTGGTGTCCTCCTCATCTCCTGAAGGAGATTCGACGAAACGTCGAATGCTAGAACTAGACGTCGCACTATCATCTTCAGGAGTTGCAGCATCGTCCACTGGAGATGAATTCTTACCCGCTGATGAACTCTTTGTTCCCGTCGTGGTGCCGTCGGAGGCTGATGCGGTACTACCGTCGGACGCCATCGAACTCGACGTCGAAGAAGACCCACTGTCCACTGTTGCGTCTTTTTTGCCAGTCGTGCTCTCGTCGGTTGTTTTTTCCGAAGAACTACTTTGCTCTTCATCTATTTTTGTCCCCGCTGTTGGAGTTGTACTAGAGGAAGTGGTAGAGCCTGCAGAACTGTCGCTCGTGCTGCCTGACGTAGAGCCTCCGGAAGATTCCTTTTTTTGGTCCTCTGACTCTGAGGGCGCAGCACTTGAAGATGCATCTCCTGCTGGGACCCTGGTATGATCGCTACTTTCGCCCTTTTCGCTAGTACTATCGCCCTTCTCACTGCTACCGGCCGCGCTGTCTTCCGGTTCATCCGCCTTCTTGTCCTCTCCGCCTCCTGCATTATCATTTCCATCATCCGCTTTTGTATTTGTTGCATCTTCTTTATTGTCCTTGGAAGTAGACTCCTCCGTTGTAGTACTATCACCGGACGGTGCCGAACTACTGCCTTTGTCTTCTGTATTTTCATCATCACCCCCATCACTCGCTTTTTTGGCGCTATCATCTTCGCCGCCCTCATCTCCGTCTTTTGCGGAGGACGCGCCGTCGCCGTTGGTGCTTTTTTCATCATTCTCTACTGCGTCGTTGTCAGCCGCAGTTTTATCCGATGCTGCTGTCTCGTCGCCGTCTTTATCTCCAGCTCCGCCAGCCTCCGCGCCCAGGACCGCGCAGATCTGCTGCGAGATGAGAAGATAATTCCTGTGCGTGACAACGTCAAAGCAGAGTCGCAGGAACGCGGACACTACGAAAAGCAAAAATTGAGAAGACAAACGCGGGTGTCTTCTTCTGGAACTTGATGCTTGATGTCGCATATTGCACAACTGGAACTAGCTAGTACGAGAACCGATTTATTCCGGGCGACATAGATAGAATCTTAACTTAGTGGCTGACGAATCGAAGTATCTTGACTCTTGGGGACGAGTGGAGTCCTTCATTGACCTTCTTGTGTTTTTCGTCTTCTGAATAGTACCCAGTGTCCTCGATAAAAGGATCGTCCCTGTCGTGTCGACCGATCTACAGAATTCAACATCAGGTAGTGCCACCAGATCTGCGAACCGATTCTGTAAGTAGAACACCAACATAAAGTGCTTACGCTTAGCTGCACGGGAAATCGTGCGTGACTCCTGGGCGACCAGCGCGTCTGCGCAACGTCGAAATGCACAGGTGGGGTAGTGCGGTGTGACTGTGAGCATCAGCATACCATTTGAAAAGCAGAAAATGAGTCAAAGTATGTTTACATCGCGACCTGGTCCGTCTTGCTTAAGTACTAATAGAGTCGCAGGGCATGTACAAGTACATGAGCCTGGAGGCCATAGCTTGCTTTCCTATTCCTAAGAATAAGACACGAAAAAAAAAGTTTACCGACGTATCGTCGCGAAGGATGCAATACAAAGCATGATCGTCCCCCCGACACCGCGGAGCTGTACGAAATGCAAGATGAAATCGAAATCGTCGTCTTCATAATAAGTATTCATTTTTTGGTACTACACCTACATCATCAAAAAATGGAAACTACAACTCTAGTCCAAGAATGATTCCGTAGCCGCGTGGGAACGCCTTATTCCGCAAAGATGAAGGTGGCATCCTTTGACAGAGCTCACATGTAAGATCAGTTTCAGAAGTCACGCTTCCATAATTACGAAAAGCTGACATGCTTAGAAGTCTCCCCCTTCGAAGATCCTGTCTGCTACAGGAGCTGCTCCCCGAACAGGAACAATGTTGTACTACTAGCCTTCATTCTTGGCGTTAAACACCGCGGCCCTTGACCTCATCTCGTTGAGTAGCTGTGCCGCGGAATCCTTCTCGCGCTGGCGGTAGCCGAACTCGGATGTGGCGAAGTTTCGGTGGAGCTCCCCCAGCGCAATGGTGACGTCGTTAGTGATTTTGTTCGCGATCTTGCGCACGACCGCGTTGGGGCACATCCAGCGCACAGTGGACGAAAATTCCATCGTGATCACCCCCCGAATTTCCATCGCATCCACGTACTCGGAAAATTCCGGATTCACATTGCCATTGGCAAGCAGTGGCTGGGGTGCACCACCAGCTTCTGGTGACAACTCAGCTTCTTTATCTTCTTCCTGCTCGTTCTGGTTCTTCGCCGAAGTTGAAGATGATGTCGCGGGTGCAGGAGAAGCCGTGCTGGCTTTTTTCTTACTAGGAGTTGATGTACTAGTAGTTTTACTATTTCCACCACCTCCGCCCCCGCCACCGCCAAATTTGGGGTTTTTCCTGCGTTTGGGCGTGACTAAGGCCACCATCGCGTCGGTATAGTTTCTCTTCAGCGTCTTGCACTCCTTTTTGGATAACCCGGGAACAACCGTGTCCCGGTAGGGGAGGTCTGGCACCTCGTATTTGTGCGTCTTTTCGCTCCCGTCGCCAAATTTCGGACTGTACATCATGACAACAAACCCGGGAGGGAGGTGAAACTCGTCCTTTTCCGCTGTCAAATCCTCCCCGGCCGGCCCCCGCGTGCGCTGCGAGTGCATCCGGCTGCGCAGCCGGTCGCGCTTGCGGTTTTTGCCCGTGCGCGCGGAGGTCCCGTCGAGAAGGCAGATCTCCGGGTTGGTACCCAGGCTGGTGGGGTAGTACTGCCAGTTGGGGTCGATCCAGGCCGTGCTGTTCGACTCGTTCGCGGTCAGGAGGTCGAAAAAGAAGTTCTGGTTAAACGTCTGCACGGGGCGCATCATTGGCACCGGGAGTTTCACCACGTTGGAGCTGAGAAAATCCCCCTTCGACCACTGCTTCACCATCTCCGCCTCCGTGCACAAGGGGTTCAGCTCCGGGCCCAAATCTACCTCCTGCATCACCGTCCAGAGTTCGCCCAGCGCTACCGGGAGCCCGAGCACCTGGGTTTGAGATGATGTCAACATCGACTTTGAAAATCATTTTGACGTGAGAAGTGGTGAAGCAGCCAACTGATACTTCTTCATCTACCGGGACGAGCAAGTTGATTATACCTCCCTCGCAGGTACGCTAACTACCCCTAAGAAAGTCTAACCCGCTACAGCCTGAGGGCACCAAAAGTTCTTGTACAGGTTTCACTTTCATCTACCAGAGTATAATCTACGTTAATATACCTCAAAATACGCCGATACTGACTCGCCTTCGTAATTTATCCGTATGTCCATGGGAATACTCAACCCGTACACTGGATCGATAATCTCTGTGGTGTACGGCACGTAGTCCTTCGTTCGCACCTCCGTCGCGAGCCCGCCGGGCCCCGTGAGCCCGCTCTTCAACTTTTCGACCGACACCTTCATGGCCTCTACCAAAACTTTATTCCGCTTGTCCTGCTCCGCCTCGGTTTTCCACACCTCCTGGATGCGGAGAAAGATCAAGTTGCGAAACAAACTGCCCTATCAAATGCAAAAGTGTAGTCTGAGTCTGGAAGAATTATACAAACTTGCCACGCATATTTTCCATGCCCCATGAGGTCTGGAACGGAGGACCTAGCATGACAGATTCTGCGAAGTCTCTATCCTGCCTCTCCTGCGTGAGAAACTCCCGCGCATCTTGGTCGAAAAAGGAGAACTTTTGGTGATCACGCAACGCAGATTTTTGTGTGACCCACCGGACGCATCACAAGTTCCATCCTCCCGGACCCAGACATTTTTGCATTTGATATGCCCTCGTCCAGCTGTCCAAGAAACTGCGGGTCTATGTAGTTTTCATCTTGGGTTGTTGCATCAATGCCGCTAATTTTCACGTCCTCGGCCCTAACTCCTGCTCCTACCTCCCCGGTGGGCCGGTAGAACGCCGAGGGCTCGGAGGCGAGTGCCGCGGAGGGTTGTCGGTTTCTGTCAGAAATTTCCAACCCCGGAAGTTGTGCTTTGTTATTGCCGTCTTGTTTCATCCCTTCGCCTTCCTCCGTGATCACAGCCGGACTAGCGGCTTCGCCCTCGGCAGCTGCTCCCGCGATGGGCGAACCGTCCACTTCTTCGTCATGAACCTCCACCGTGGTTGCGAACCGCACGATGTTGCGGTCGGGCAGGGTTTCTGTGAAAAACCTCTCCACCCGCAAGTACCGAAAATGCGCTTCTGGGACCCGTAGACACTCGCTCATCTCCCGGATTTCCTCGAACTCGTCCTGCAGAAGGGTTCTCACGATGTCCACAAAGTGGTCGCGGTGCTTCTTTGACTGCGGGCAGGTGTAGGGATTCTTCGTGCCCCCGCCGGAGAGCAGCCAGTCCCGCACCTCGTGTTTCGACAACAGCTCCGGTTCCAACAGCTTCTCGATTTTGTCAAAGGGCGTGGGCACCTCGATTTCTACCTCGACTTGCTGCCGTGGTTCTTGACCTCCTGCCCCGTCGACGAACTTTATTTTCGGCCCTAAGGAGTTAGTCGTGGCCCCTGCAGTTCGCTCGACACTAGTTTGTTGTTCAACAACATCCTTAGAAGTTGTTGATGCCAGTACTGGGTCAGGAGCGTCGTCCTGCAGAATCGCGTCACGGCTGGGGTCTTTTGGATGTACTGTAGTTTGTTCGTTCTCCATATTAAAAACTACATCCTCTTCTTGAAACGTGTCATCGATAATCCTGCGGATAAAGTCTGGCGTGTCTTCCAGAACCAGTCTGACCGAGGTTTTCCGGGATTTTAGTGTCGGCCGGGCGGACCGGGGACTCTGCATCCATTGCGACAGCTCCGAACGCCGCGGCGCGTGCCGAACCGGCTTGTTCTTCGCCTTTTTGGCCGACGAAGAGCAACAACTGCCCATGGTGCTTGTATCGTCGTATAGCGTACGAGGAGGGGGCTACGAACTGAAACGAGTAGCTGTTGGTATTGCTATATAAGGACGACCTGAAATAATGTAAAAACGACAGTGAAGCTTAAAGTAACTGCATGGGGAACGTGCAAACTGTGGAATACTATACCGAAATTGTAGTTCTAGTCGTATAGTTTGCTGCACTAGACTAGTGCATTGCAGTGGATAGGGAGGTCCTGGAGATGAAGTTGGTTTTTTCGGAATCTTTTTTGACGGTGTATACATATACACATCGCAGAAGAGACGAAAACCGAATCCGATCGTGGGCAAAGACGACTACACGATTTTTTTTCTCTTGCACGAAGCATTGATGGACGACAACGACTCAGCACGGCATGATGAGGACTAATGAAACCGACACAGTTTGTTTCTTGCACAGCTTGAGGTCGTCAGGAAAAATGTTCTATTTTCTTCTACAACAGCGTTCTGGACCGATGCGGGACGGACGTTCATATTCTAGCACGACCAGAAGGCCTGGACCGATCTTCTTGATATTGTGAGCAAGTAAGTAGTTCTCTCGACGGGTCGGGAGAGCACATTGACATGAAAGTCCGAAATTTCCGTAAAGTAGTTCTTGCAACCTGCTTCATCCGATGAAGATAATATTTCACGTTTGGCAAAATCAATCCTCCTTACTGTCTTTGTTCCGCAAAAAGAGCGGACGGAAGCCGGTTGGAGGATATCACAAAGCATCTATATAAATGCGCTAGCGCCAATCGGAAGTTGATAAAGCAAAAAAATGCAGCCACCAAACATCTTCTAATTTACAGAAACGCTTCCGGTGTTGGAAAATTGTGATGTCGTGTGGCTTCAAGCAGCAAAAGAGCGTAGTAGAAAAAAGTATCTTTCTAGTAAAGTTATGGTGTCGCCCAAAATAGTGCTATCAAAATTTGGTTTTGGAAGACGCACATACCAATGGAATCACTCAATACCCAACTACTTCACAATCACCCGCAAAATTCTGCCCAAGTTACTACACGCTTGCCAGGAGCGGTCGGTCGTTGTTGCTCGCGGCTGTCGGCCCCGCAGCGGTGTTGTTCCGGACCACATTTGTTCCGCTTCGCCCGCCCCGGAGCTGCCTCCACTGCAGCCGGAGCTTGCGGTGGAAGTCGATGCCCCAAAAAATGCCGACGAACAGACAGGCGAACCCGGTCCAGGTGAACACGATAGAGAACATGACACCGTAAAAGTTCAACGTGCCGTCCGAATTGTACATCCCTGCGAAGCCGGTACTGTAGCAGAAGTCCGAGTACTGGGCGGGCACTTCGGGGTACTGGTGTTTCCCCCGCGGGTCACAGTGCATGCCCCACGCGTCGTTCATCAAGTGCCGAACCAGGTCAGTGAGGATCAGAACGGTGGCAAGGACGAGGAGGTAACAGGGACCAAACTTCTCGAAGTGCGGACGCTTGCTCTGTGGTGTGATGGATCATCTTCATGTGAAACGAGGTAGCATTTTGATAGATTCAAAGTTGTAGCTGCTTTTCATCAGGCAAGGCTCTTTCTGTAGTACGTACAACAAATTGAAAATTGAAGTACCCTGACTGGGTGCGCTTTGCACTTGACGATCATGAACTGAATCATGTTTGTGAAAATGGCCATGTTCATCCCAAATGTGAGGGAGTGCGATATTACAATGAAAAATGCCCCCACCCCCGAACTCGGGAGCGTTTGCATTGCAAGCCTTTCCAAATGAAACATTTGCCCACTTGCATCTATCAGCATCACAGGTTTCCGCTCGTCAATAGCAAAAATCTGTATTGCAAAAGACCCCAGCAAGAGTGGCGCTTGTCATGCAAGCGATGCGATACACGCCCAGGCTCTGCATCAGAGAGATTCTCTTCATACTCCTTTCATGCATGGCAAAAAGTTTTCATTTGGAAACTTCGCATCACAAATTTTTGCAACTTTCGGTGTGGGGGCGTTTTTCACTGTAATATGCGAAAATTGCCGACTCGCGGCGGTATTCAGCCGGGACAAGCCCGAAAAAGTATCAAATGCAAATATGTCTGGGTCTGGAAAGTTGTGATGCATGTTAGTGAATATTAGGGGGTGCATTGTAATGCATCGCCACGCATGACAGATTTTTCCGTGGCTTTGTGTTGCGTATTCCGCATGAGAAACAGCGTTTTTGCATGACAGACCAGAGGATCTCTTGCTGGCCACGCAATACAGGGCTCCTCGTCATGCCAGACGAGCATGACAAATCTCGCACTCATTCAGACCCAGACATATTTGCAGTGCATAAAAGGCGCTGGCTAACAACAGCGGCCAGCATCAGCTTCCGACCAACGCTGGAATGGAGCACACCATCGTGGCCAACGCGCAACAGGTACTCCGCCGGTCCAGCTCCGGCTCCTGACAGGAGTCGTCCACATCTGTGGTGGCGGCGCAGTGTCGTCCTTCGGCCGTTGTGCTGGAGGCGAGCGAAGGACCCACATTCACGGCCGGTGGAGCTGTTAGTGTTCGTAGTTTTGGTGTGATTTCTGTTGCTAGTATGCTATGCGACGAGGTTCAACTTTTCATGCACATCCATGATGCACACACAAATTCAAATTTTTGTGGACTGCAAGAAAATGCAAATGGACGATCTTACGATGAAAATAAACCATACCATCCGCGAAGAGCTCCGATGTCGATGGTCCTCAGTTTCCGGTGGTGCACTCCCCGTCGTCGGTGGGGTTATGGGCAGAACTCATCTTGTTCGTCAAGCACGGCTCCCGATTTTCGCAATCAAGCCCGGCTTTGTGCAAGACGAGAAGAGGGCACTCGAGAGGACGAGAGGAGGACGTGGCTTATTAAGCTGCTGGTGCAAGAAGCACGAAGAGAAATGGTACTTCTTGTCTTGACCTACTGAACGCGACCTATTTTTCTCTTGCACAGGATTAAGCTAGTAAGTAATCTATCAAGCGACGCTTCTTTCAGTACACAGGGGAAGATGGACAAAAAGTAGCTGAGACACAAAAAATGCAGTGTGCATGCGAAACTATTTCGGAGGTTTATGTGGGTTTTCGCTTTACTGAGGCTGTGCATGTATGAGCTGTGTGAAAGCAGATTTTTGGAAAAGTCGCGAGCCAGAATGCCAGGAAATTACCGGCGCTTCAGAAAAAATAGATGCGGACCTCCTCGTCACTCACGCTCCACTTTCAACTTCTTTATAGGAATCTTCTCTCGAATGCTTTGCCCCGCGGCTTACCTAGTACCTGCTAAGCCGACATCTTGTTGCCAACCAGCCCGGGAAAAGAACAGCGGCTCCTTTCGCAGCGAAAATTCATCAAAATCTCTACTAGTCTCACTATGCTAGTACGTTGAGATTGAGTCTCAATCTTATTCTTTTCCCGTCCCCCACCAATGGTGGATTTTTATGAATATCAGACACATAAAGAGGTCATCCAAAATGGTATCCTCTGAATTTTTTCTGCACACAGGATATTTATTGCAAGGTAGCTCGTATACCGAGCGGTGTACTAGTTAGTATTAACAAACTCAAACAACGCACAATGGTATAACAGAAATCCAATAGTAGTGATTCCAAGCAGGAAGCTTCAGATTTTTGCGAAAACAAATTTCTAGCAAAAAATGAGAATAGAAGCTTCGGCTCGGATAAGATAAGTCGCCGGCACAGCGACGAAACAAAAACAGAAAAAAAATAGTAAAGAAACTTTTCGTTCCAACAACATACTTCGTCGTTACATGGTGCCTTAAGCAGCGCATTGCATTTGCAAGCGGAAGGAGTGTACTACTTCAAAGGCGTTGTAACTACAAACAGATAGGAACTCACACGACTTTTGTCGCGTTGGATGGGGAATGATATCATAATTGATATTTGATCGTCTGAACGTACATATAATCGTGCTACTCCTGCAACACTCACATTTTGTTCCATCGAGTGTTTGTTTGTTTGTTTGTAGGCATGCGGTAAGGTGGAAACGCGATTACTCACCTTTTTTCTTTAGCGCTATTTCAATAAAAATCCCTCTACCCAAAGAAGCTTGAAAAAATACTGAGTGACTGCTACCGGTAGTGCTAGTGTGCAACTGCTTTAAAAATAAAAACGGCCTGTTGGAAAAAGATACTACTGCCCATAACCCTCTGTCGTTGAAAAAGGCACATCTGAATTCCATCGAATGTTCTTGCATTGTACATTCTCAATAATACGCCATCGGTTCTTCCTGCGCCTTCTTCTTTTTCATCTTCCGTGGTCGCGCGACTTCCATGTCGTCCGGGTTGTCAACCGGTCGCGACACCCGCCCGCGCAGCTGCAGATTCATGTCATCGTCTCGATCTTGATCCATCAAAGCGGGTAGTTTCCTGGCCTTCTTCGCCTTTCGCCCGCTTTCAGCGTCACGGGACGAAGGCGGGCGAGCGGAAGGTGGGGGAGGGGGCTGCTGGAAGCCGCTGTTCAGAGGTTGATGTTGACCTGGCGGGGCAGTGGTTTCTACTTCAAGGGGCCGGTTGAAATTATTGTTTCTTCCCGATGACTTTTTACCACGCGAGGATTGTTGCGGCAATACTTGATGTTGATTTGCGCCAGCCTGCTCATAGTACATCGGTGCAACGCCTCTCACACTATCTGGTACTATCGGCGGCGGCGGCGCAAAGTTGTTCCTACTGGTTGGTGGTGCGATGGTATTACCTCCGCCCGGCGCGGCTCGTCCTCCCCTGGATTTCTGCAGCAAGGTTGGCATGGAGTCTTCCTGTTCTCTTGCTCTGGTAGTTCCACCTGCTGCATTGTAGAAATTACTATCTTCGCCGACACTGCGGTTCGCGAACTTGCTGTTATGTTGTCCCCCTCCGAACCGGGACGTGGCGGCGTATACACTGTTTTCCGCGAGCCTGGGTAATCCCCTCAGATCGCGGCTGATCTGGACCAATTCTTCCGAAGTTTCCCGGTAGAGTTCATTAGACGTGTCGCGCACTAAAACCGCCACTTTCGAGGCCTCCTTCGCAATTTCCTTCGACGTTTGACGCACGAAACGCGCCGCCGCGTTTGCACTCGTCGTGGCTCCGGCGCCGCCGCGTGCCCGGGGACCCGCGTTTGACGCAGTTTTGGCATTCCCGTTGCTCTCGGAGCTACTATTTCGGTCGCTCTCCGGGGAAATTTTGTCGCCCCGCGACCGACTGGCGTTGGTTACGTGGCGCTGCTCGTACTCTTGCTTTCTCTTCTCTGCACTGGTGGCTGTGCCACTGCTGTTCCAAGCGCGAGGGTCCTTCTTCTTCGCTGCCGGTTGTTGTGTTTCCGGGCCGCCTTTGATGCTGGTCGTGTTCCCCTCTGCAGCTCCTGCTGTTGAGGGCGACACCGAAGCAGGTTTGCTCGCTTGACGAATGCTACCTGAATCGGGGTCACCGTCTTCTGCGTTTTTGCGACACAACTTCGATACAGCCACGGCCAGTAGGATGAGAACCACCAACCCCGCGCCGCCAAGAATCACGAAGGTCAGCGGGTCCGTGAGGCTAAATCCGAGCAGCGTCGCACCGCTCGCTTTGGTGGCTGCCTCCTCACGACTGGCGCCCACCTCTGGGTTATTACCATCTCCGCTACTGGATGTCTGCCCGCTGCCAGTAGTGCCCGAAGACGTGGTTGGTAACGCCGCCGTAGGCGCCGCCGCCAGACTCGCGCCCGCGACGAACGTGGTCCGCCTTTCCGCGTCGGCTCTGGTTTCGCAGCTTCCCGACGAAATAGTAGATTCTAAATCCGTACAAGCCGTCCCGCACGGCAAATTCCAATTTTTCTTCCCGTACCCGGACACCACCGAGCGAATGTCGATACTGTCTTGACCGCAGGAACTGCAGGCCTGGAGGAACAAATCAAAAGCCCCCAGCCGGTCGCCCATCTGGAGCTTCAACTCCGTCTTGTAGGACAGCGCCGGACAGAAGTCCGGGATCAACTGCAACGCCTTGTCGTAGTACTTTTCCGACTGCGCAAATTGCGGATTCGGCCTTTTGCGAAACGCGTAGCCGATATCGGATTCGAGTAAGGCAAGACAGACGTTCTCCTCCACAGACGCCGGCAGCCAGTCGGAACACGACAAGGGGGTGTGCGGCGTCACGCACCACAGAAACTTCAGCGCCTCATCGGCGGTTTCGTCCGAAGAAAAGCCCCCGTCGAAGTCCGCGGGTATCAGAAATTCCTTCGCGACCATGGGATACGTGTAGTGGTGTTTTCCGGTTTCCGTGTTAAACATGGCCCGTAGATCCTTCGTTTTCTCCATGTTGGTCACCTGGACGCGGAGTTTGTGCCCCAGTTCACAGCCGTGACTCGAGGTCAAAAAGTAGACCCCCTGGTTCTGGCAGTTGAATTCTACCTGCCCGGAGCTGGACAGAGGCGCGAGTTGGTACGCCACGCCGGAGGCGTCTTTTGTGTTACAAAGCACGTAGTCGGCTTCGGATTTCAACAGTAAAATGTCCAGCATCCACTTGTCTCCCCCCCAACTGAGCCGGATGCTGTCCCCGACCTCACAGAGCACCTGCTTCAGCTCGGCCGCCGCGTTGTTGGACTTTTTCGTCAGCAACGCGACGCCCCAGTCGTACTTCCCGACTTTCTTCATCTTTGGCTTCAGACTCGTGGTCGGGTTCGCCATGCTGGCAACCTGCACCATGGAGGTCTTTCCCGCGTACATCATGGCCGTATTCACCACGTTTGGGATGTTTTGCGACAAGGTCTGCATGCTACTCTCATCCGCGTTCGCCAATGTCGTTGCTAACGCCTGGATGCCGGATGTCACGCCAGTCGTAGTACCAGAGGTGGAGGTAGCTCCTGTGGCCGCAGTGCCCCCTCCCGACGTTGCTGCTGGCGAATTCGCGGACCAGAACTCAAAGTCCACAATCACGGACGTGGTCACCGACTGTCAGATCAGATCAGATAGTTTTTTGTAAATACTCATAAAGAGTAAGTTTACAAATGCTCGCTCGAAAGCGGCGGTAGGGACGTCGTGTAACTAGAAAAAAGCGATAAGGGAAAAAAAAATAAAAAGGCTTTTGCACTTGCTTTTTGGCTTAGGCCTAGGTCGCTCGCCCGCTGCTACTACAGAAACTGCCTGGTAAAGCTTTAAACTGGTCCTGACCTCAACTTTAGTACTGCTTGGCTTTTAAAGATGTTGCGCAACTACTTCCTCCGGAAAAAACAAGAACCGCCTCCCAAAAATGCTAGTCGATCTATCTCGTGCCTCTTCTTGCGCAGTTGCACTTAGGACGGTATGCGTGACGAGATTGAAGCTGCTTTGTCTTCACTCGCAGTTTTCGAACTTGGATACGCTTAGAACAACTCGAGAAGTTTTGATCATACCGTGCTGAGAGCATGTCAACTGACCTAGAGACATCGAACGGCTTCTGTAGAAAATTACGCGCCTGCTTAGCCAGGAAAATTACGCTGTAGCCCCCAACCAGCGGACTCACGTTGACCTACAAAGACCATCGCTTTCGGCAATAGAATTTGCAAGCCCCCAGCGCGGTTTAGGTAAGGGCGTTAGGCCACCCGGCGCCTTTGTTTTAACTTAAGCCCTAACATTAAGTGGGCGTCAGGGTTTTGAACATACAAATAACAGAAGATGACGTTTTCAAAAAATGATGAACCTTCAAGAACTTAACCCTGTAGGAGAGAAGGACAGGTCCAGGAAACAGAAAAAACAAACCCACTACTATTGAGGCTCTCTACACCTTACGCTGCGGCTGCAGCAGCAGCATGCTCGCGCTCGCGACGCAGAGCATTGATCTTGCGGACATGTTCGTTTTTATTCAACAAAATTTCCTCCTTCTCCTGCACTGCAGCGTCGACGGCTGCCTGAACCTCCCCGAAGCGTTCCGGGCAGATAGATCGGGTTTTGTATTTGGGTGGGAAGGCGAAATGCGCGGAGGCCATCCAACAAACACTTCTTCGCGTTGGCCTTCACCAGCGGGTCGGCAGTTGGCGGCTTGCGGCGTACTAAAGGGTCGGGCACAGCACCTGGCCCCTGCACCTGCTCCGCTTTCGTAACTTGTTCGGCAAACTCCCTGATGGCCTCACGCTCCTTCAGCTCCCGCATGTGTACAAAAGCGAGACGCAGGTTGCTGAACCACCCACGCTGGCCGTTATTGGCCTTCTTGCAGCTGTCGCACCCGCACGTGATCCGCTGCAGCCGAAAGCGCACCGGCGGAGCGCTGTCTTGCAGGAAATAGGCCCTGTACTGTGCAGGGTCGAAGGACGATGGTGAGCAACCGAAAAAAGGAAAAGCGCGAACCTCGTCGAGAATGTCAAAAAGCTCGTGGTGAAGGCCCTGCAGGTAGTGGTCTTCCTCCTCGGTGTGACCCGGTGTGCCTACCCGTCCGCACGTGGGGTGGCGCACTGTCAACGGGACTGGTTGCTGCGTTCCAATGCAGTCCGTTAGCGCTGCGATGCCTATGTGCCTGGAAACTTTCCCCAGGAACTTCTTGTCATTAGTCCCGACCCCGTGCACCCTTTCCTTTACGTTGTCCACAATTTGCTGGCGCGCAGAGTTGCTTTCTGGGGCCGGCGCGCAATGCCATCCATGCGACCAGTCCTGGGCTACTGGGCAGAGGGCGTCGTGCTCACTTAACTCGAAGTCACCTGTAGCCCCACCGACGATGTTCAGAGGATAATGATCGAACTCCTCCCGTGCCCAATTCGCGTAGCCCCAAAACTCCTCCGAGTCTGCTACCCGGAAGCGGTCATCCGGGCCCTGGCGATGAAAAGCGCACTTCTGGAGGTCGCCACATTTGCACCGAGTCGGGAACTCTAGGTCTTTGCGTACCTCCTTGCGCAAGTCCCGCAACTCACGCCCCAGCTCCGTCGTAGCCGAAAACTCACCAACCCGGATGTCAAACACTTCCCGGAAGATGCTGCTGGCGAATTCGCGGACCAGAACTCAAAATCCACAATCACGGACGTGGTCACCGACTGTCAGATCAGATCAGATAGTTTTTTGTAAATACTCATAAAGAGTAAGTTTACAAATGCTCGCTCGAAAGCGGCGGTAGGGACGTCGTGTAACTAGAAAAAAGCGATAAGGGAAAAAAAAATAAAAAGGCTTTTGCACTTGCTTTTTGGCTTAGGCCTAGGTCGCTCGCCCGCTGCTACTACAGAAACTGCCTGGTAAAGCTTTAAACTGGTCCTGACCTCAACTTTAGTACTGCTTGGCTTTTAAAGATGTTGCGCAACTACTTCCTCCGGAAAAAACAAGAACCGCCTCCCAAAAATGCTAGTCGATCTATCTCGTGCCTCTTCTTGCGCAGTTGCACTTAGGACGGTATGCGTGACGAGATTGAAGCTGCTTTGTCTTCACTCGCAGTTTTCGAACTTGGATACGCTTAGAACAACTCGAGAAGTTTTGATCATACCGTGCTGAGAGCATGTCAACTGACCTAGAGACATCGAACGGCTTCTGTAGAAAATTACGCGCCTGCTTAGCCAGGAAAATTACGCTGTAGCCCCCAACCAGCGGACTCACGTTGACCTACAAAGACCATCGCTTTCGGCAATAGAATTTGCAAGCCCCCAGCGCGGTTTAGGTAAGGGCGTTAGGCCACCCGGCGCCTTTGTTTTAACTTAAGCCCTAACATTAAGTGGGCGTCAGGGTTTTGAACATACAAATAACAGAAGATGACGTTTTCAAAAAATGATGAACCTTCAAGAACTTAACCCTGTAGGAGAGAAGGACAGGTCCAGGAAACAGAAAAAACAAACCCACTACTATTGAGGCTCTCTACACCTTACGCTGCGGCTGCAGCAGCAGCATGCTCGCGCTCGCGACGCAGAGCATTGATCTTGCGGACATGTTCGTTTTTATTCAACAAAATTTCCTCCTTCTCCTGCACTGCAGCGTCGACGGCTGCCTGAACCTCCCCGAAGCGTTCCGGGCAGATAGATCGGGTTTTGTATTTGGGTGGGAAGGCGAAATGCGCGGAGGCCATCCAACAAACACTTCTTCGCGTTGGCCTTCACCAGCGGGTCGGCAGTTGGCGGCTTGCGGCGTACTAAAGGGTCGGGCACAGCACCTGGCCCCTGCACCTGCTCCGCTTTCGTAACTTGTTCGGCAAACTCCCTGATGGCCTCACGCTCCTTCAGCTCCCGCATGTGTACAAAAGCGAGACGCAGGTTGCTGAACCACCCACGCTGGCCGTTATTGGCCTTCTTGCAGCTGTCGCACCCGCACGTGATCCGCTGCAGCCGAAAGCGCACCGGCGGAGCGCTGTCTTGCAGGAAATAGGCCCTGTACTGTGCAGGGTCGAAGGACGATGGTGAGCAACCGAAAAAAGGAAAAGCGCGAACCTCGTCGAGAATGTCAAAAAGCTCGTGGTGAAGGCCCTGCAGGTAGTGGTCTTCCTCCTCGGTGTGACCCGGTGTGCCTACCCGTCCGCACGTGGGGTGGCGCACTGTCAACGGGACTGGTTGCTGCGTTCCAATGCAGTCCGTTAGCGCTGCGATGCCTATGTGCCTGGAAACTTTCCCCAGGAACTTCTTGTCATTAGTCCCGACCCCGTGCACCCTTTCCTTTACGTTGTCCACAATTTGCTGGCGCGCAGAGTTGCTTTCTGGGGCCGGCGCGCAATGCCATCCATGCGACCAGTCCTGGGCTACTGGGCAGAGGGCGTCGTGCTCACTTAACTCGAAGTCACCTGTAGCCCCACCGACGATGTTCAGAGGATAATGATCGAACTCCTCCCGTGCCCAATTCGCGTAGCCCCAAAACTCCTCCGAGTCTGCTACCCGGAAGCGGTCATCCGGGCCCTGGCGATGAAAAGCGCACTTCTGGAGGTCGCCACATTTGCACCGAGTCGGGAACTCTAGGTCTTTGCGTACCTCCTTGCGCAAGTCCCGCAACTCACGCCCCAGCTCCGTCGTAGCCGAAAACTCACCAACCCGGATGTCAAACACTTCCCGGAAGATGCTGCTGGCGAATTCGCGGACCAGAACTCAAAATCCACAATCACGGACGTAGTCACCGACTGTAGCCGCCGATGAACTTCTGCTTGTTGTGTTTTTCGTCTCACGACCGTCGTATTGTTGTTCGTAGCAGCAGTTTGTTCACCAGCAACTACGTCCGGAACCCGGACTCCCACCACCTCGCACTCAATCGCGTTCGGGTCCGTGAGCCCCAAGCCGTTCACAAAGCCGTCGCACATCGCGGACTTGAAATCTGTATCGGCCGCTAGGCTGTCTACCGTCGTGTCCCCGGACAGTGTAAAGGAGAACTCCGGCATCCAAGAAAAAAACTGTGTTAGTGTAAGTCTTTTGATGGGAAAACAGCATCACAAGTTTTTCTGCCATGACAGGAAAAACTTGTTATGCGCAGATAGGAGGGGAAACCACATAGGAAGCAAGCCGATCATGCATGTCGAGCATGACAAGTGTAACTGTTTTGCATTTTCTGCAGCACAGATTTACACTTACACAGTTTTTTTCTTGCATATCCGGGGAGAGGGTCAGCGTCTCCCGCTCCGTCACTTCCTGCGTGGTGGCTGATAACACCGCTAACTCCGCGCGGGTCGTGGTGGTAGTAGTGACCGTTGTGGTGGTGAAGGTCGACGTGGTCGTGACAGTAGTTGTGGAGGTGGTGGTCGAGGTTACCGTGGTCGTAGTAACCGT